GCACATATAACACACAATACTAGTAGTCGTTGACGAGGGTTTCAGTTGAAAAGGGACCCACTGGGAAAATAAAAGCTAAATGAAATGCAACGAACAGCTTTACATAGCGGTAACCTTCTATGTTTTATTCGCGAGGCATCCAGTTCCTGTTGTGAGATGGGTAATACGCCCCCCAAGAAACAAACTGCGTGGCTTTAGTCCGCAAGTGAACTATACCGACCGAGCGACCGCCGCTTGTTGGCGAAGTTAGTGTCAACTTTAAGCGGATAGAGGCTGTCGCGTGGTCAGAGCAACGAATCCCCACGGCCGTCAATTTTGGTTTTGTAGACTGGAGCCGCTACTTTTCCATTGTAGTAGCTCCTCAGTTAGCCTCACGAGGCTGCGTGAACCCCGTTTCAGACCCACTACTTGTCATAAAATCTGGTAGAGCCGGGAATCGAACCCGGGACCGGGCCTCTGGGTCTATAGCCAGGAACTCTGACCACTAGACCACAAAGACGGCAAAAACCACCCCAGAGATTAACTCACTCTCTTAAGATGAACGCTGCACTAGTGTTCTGAAACAAGTCACGGTTACATCCTTACGTATCCTTGCCTATTCATCATACATTGCTATATTTGCATTGACAGTGGACGCAATTTAGCCTATACCTTCCTGGCATTTAGTCCACAAAGCGAACTATACCGACCGAGCGACCGCTGCTTGTCGGCGAAGTTAGTGCCAACTTTTGAGGATAGAGGGTGTCGCATGATCAGCGCAATGGATCCTCACGGCCGTTAATCTCGGATTTCTAGACCGGAATTCAGCCTATACACCTGATATAATTTGTGAAGTGGGTGTATCGTTGATCAAAGATAGATTAGATGAATATTCACAATCGTAAATGTTAGATGAAAAAGTATACGTGTACATACCTCTAACTTGGTAAGTAAGGATATACTGTATGTGTTAATCGGTTATTTGTTTGTGATTTATTTAACGTCGCTGTGTGAACTCAAAACTATACGAGTGTAGCATCGAATCTTAGGGCAATCAGTAATAATAAACTGCAAACTGTGTAGAATGAAGCGGTCGTGGCTTGATTTCAAATATCTCACATTTGGCTGAAAGTACTAAGATAAAATCATGAAACCCGTTTGTCTTCAGGCAGAAATTTTAATCCTGGACATTCAAACAAAAATCACACGACCGCGATTTTCGATACTATTTCAACGAATAATCGATCGAGTAATCGGTCTGGAAAATGTGCATTGATTTCTATGTGCTAAAAACAGAACACTCTCACCTTTGAGTAGCGGAGTAGTTCAGCGTCGGAGACAGACATTAACAGGAGAATAGCGACGGGCTGAATGTCCAGGGTTCGATTCATAATAGAGGGAATATTCTCCCCTCAACTGCGTCCAGGCCATTTCTGATGGTCACCAAACATCTTATCTAATGCCGCACCGATGGCTCTTTCTCCGGACTTAAAGCGGACAGAGCCTGAGGCTAATCATCTCCATCTAGTGTCAAAGTCAAGAATGATGGAGCTGTACCACCATTTCCCATTCACAAGGGCGTCTCTATCTTTGCTTTTATCGCAAAGCGAACTGGTTACAGTCCTAAGCGCCATGGATCCCAGTGTGACCAACTTGAGGTGCGCCCTATAGTCTGGATGTGCTGTTAAATTACTCCTACGTAGACTTTAAACACTACGCTACAGCAAACAACAGACTGCATGAATACAAACTCCATTCATCCTGCACGCCAAGCTTTCGTGTTAGAATATGAGGTGGAAGCAATTTCCATCAGTGCTTGTTTCTCGCATGTACGTTCCTGTTGAATCATCGTAGTATCCTAGTGAAGATAAATACAACTGTTTTCTTACTCTTGAGCACTTAGTGGGAACAAATGGTTTACAGTATCATAAAGTACGTTTTCCTTAAACCCACCAAAGGAAGGACGGTTTCTTTATTGCTAGTGGGGTGGGACTAAGTCCCTTGTACTGCGGCCACTTCTGGCCTATTGTACCAGCCCAAGATGATAGGTGAGGGTGATTGTGGAGCAATTGGTGGAATGAAGATTGGCATGGGAAACCGAAGTACTCGGAGAAAACCTGCCCCATCGCCACTTTGTCTACCACAAATGCCACTTGACCAGACCCGGGATCGAACCCGGGCCGCCGAGGTGGGAAGCCAGCGACTAACCCCTTGAGCTATGGCGCGGCCAAGGACGGTTTCTTAGTACTTTTTAAATTTTCTTGGGGTGAGACTGAGTCCACCTTGTACATCGGCCACTAATTGGCCTATTGTACCAGCCCCGGATGATAGATGATGATGACTGTGGAACAGTCGGTGGAATTAGAATTGGCAAGGGAAACCGAATGATTGGCATTCGATACTTTTGTTGCCAGATTTATCCTGGCAGTGATGGAAATTTTGCGAAGGAGAATAATATAATTCGTGAAATAAAACGGTTATTAACTCGTATGTAAGATTTGAGGTTTTCACGGCGGTGACTATGAAGAAAACCATCTTCTGGGATGTGGCGCCGTGTATAAATTATGTTAACCGACGTTTCGGAGGAACATATCGCCTCCATCTTCAGGCTAGAAGACAAGAAGAAATCCGTGAGCAAACCAGCATGAGCAGGTGCAGCTCTTTTACTATTCCCAGAGAACTGGGATAAGTCAGTCGGTATATTGAGGGGCTACGGACTAGACTGGCCTAGGTTTGATTCTCGGTAGTGGCAAGAGATTAAGCTCTACTTCACAGCATCCATACCGGTTCTGGAGCCCACCCAGCCTCACATACAATGGGTTCCGGAGCGTGAAGCTGACCACGCACCTCCATCTAGTGTCGAGGTCAAGAAAGGTGAAGTTCCACTCCACCTTTAGTCTTCATGTCGTCGTGCTTAAGTATTTAAGTACAGGACAATGTTGCGTTAATCTTTAACCTCTGTGGTCTAGTGGTCACAGTTCCTGGCTACAGATCCAAAAATCCCAGGTTCGATTCCAGTAGCTACCAGAGCAAGTAAACAAAAGGTTCAGAAATGAACGCATAGCGCAGTAATGCTTATAGGTTCGTTCGCTTTTGCTTAATTAGCTAGAAAAACGTAAAACATTTTAACCAAAAACGGATATATAAATTCATGTAACGAAATACCAAGCATATTCATTTTTATAAGGTTTAATACACATATTCCAAAGAATACAGCACGGATAAAATACTTCAAACGTTACTCTAGGCAATCGGCAAATTTTCTAATTCTTTTAAACGCGAAACGAATATATGAAAGCATTGTATATATAATAAAATGTCACATTTCATCAGACTAAACTCTGTTTGATTTGTTATTGCTAGTGGGGTGGGACTAAGTCCCTTGTACTGCGGCCAATTCTGGCATATTGTACCAGCCCCAGATGATACGTGAGGGTGATTGTGGAGCAATTGGTGGAATGAAGATTGACAGGGGAAACCGAAGTACTCGGAGAAAACCTGCCCCAGCGCCACTTTGTCCACCACAAATCCCACTTGACCAAACCCAGTATCGAACCGGGGCCGCCGCTATGGGAAGCCAGCGACTAACCGCTTGAGCTGTGACGCGGCCCACACTCTGTTTGATTAGGTCACATTAATACCAGCAACAACAGCAACATTGTCAGTCGATCTCTGTTCCTGTTGTATTTAGTGACAGCCGCGTTTCCTACAGATAGTTCTATAGTTTTCGTAACTGTTTCAGTTGTCTCTTCTTTCCCGGCCTTTTCGTCAGCAGACGGGTTCTTTGCATTCCCTGGCCGTCCATCTTCAGAACTCATATTGCCAACGTCCTCTATTAACCCCAAGGCTGAATCAGGTGCTTTAGTCTGTTCTGTTAATGTCTGGCCACTCTCTTCCGACAGGAGAACCGAGGTTGGTGTTGTTAACAAGAACTGTTCCTCATCCATGTCCTCAAGAGAAGTTCCGTTCTTGCCAACATTCAGTACAGCTACGATAGTCGGTGACATTTGCGTTTCATTAGTTTTATTACTATTCTCGTGTGTGTTGTCTTTCAAAACATCCGTCATTACAACAGCGACATCTGCCGATTCTTTTGTCAGTTTTTCCGATTCTGGTGGAATGTCGAACGGTATTGACCTCTGAAGAAGTCCCATTGAACTGGAATCAGAGGCAGAATGGTCCTCATAGCCACGACGAAGCACAGGAGTTGCATACTTTGCATTAAGTCTCTGCAGAAGGAAATCCAACTGTGTTTCATGGTTCAGTTTTATCACCTTAATACACTGACCCCTTGAATCCGGCCTATATCCTTCGGCACACTCTGGAAGAGGGGAAGTTCCGGAAATAGTTGGTACCTTGTAAATGAACCTCCGGTTTATTCGTCTCTTCTTTACTTCCTCGATGTGTGGTCTCGGTGTACTTGGGTCTCCATGTAACCAGGACTGCCAACCGAGTTCTTGAGTTGTGTCAACTGTGTTGATTGCCCTTCCGACACAACTCTTGTGGCAGAGTAGTGACAGATATACCATGACAATTAGAAGTCTTAGCATGCTTGGCGGCTATTTCAAAGTAAGGGTAATTATATCTCGCAGCAACGTTTGTAAACGCTATGATATTGTCACGTGTCAGAGTCACTTCCGTGACGCTATATAGATGCGGCACGGACAACACAGAAAACACAGCTCCCACTGTTGCATGTTGGAACGTGTTTACCGATACATTACATAGCAATGGACATTTTATTGTTGTCACATGCTTAAGGGAGGTTTTTACTAGGTCGTTGCCTAACAACACAATATGTAACTTTTTCTCAGTTGTTTTGTTATTCACCATCCGGAGCGAGGGGTTTGCAAAATTTTTCTTTGAGCCGTCATTTTCAGGAGGGGGGGGGATGTAAATTGGAGAGTAGGTACCCTTTTTACCGACTGAGTCCCGGATAATGGCTGCTGTTGCCAGCTTGATGATAGTTGGCAGCATAAAAGATCGATAATGGCTGCGCGGCGTGACGACAGCTACCGAAAGCTACGGTGCCCAACATTAGCGGCATCATCGGCGTTACCGATGTGTTGATCCGTGTTTGACAGCTTCTTCAGAAACATTCAGAACCTTCAGAACTCTGGTTTGACTGGTTTCGTAGCAGAAAGACTTTGAAGTTTCGTTCAATGTAGCAGCAATGTATGAAGCGCGGTTCAGCGTTGTGATGTGGTTTAGCTTTAAGTAAAGAATTTAGGTTCCTTTGGTTTACTGTATTTGCAGGTTTTGATATGAAATGTGTGTGATATTTTTGACGAGAAAGCGCAGTACCCCGGTATAAATGTGCGTTAGAAAATGTTCCAGGTTTGTTTCTTTTTAATTAGTATACATAAATACGCATATTAAAAGATTTATCTTTTTATTAACAGGACCCACTTAGTATATCGTACAGTTTCTAAATTGTGTTGGTTGTTGATTTTAGGGTTCTGTTACAAGATGTTTAAATATAACTGTTAAACTAACTCCATGAAACTAAGCCCTTCTAGAGAAGCCGCCAGTTGTGCATCTATTCAAGAATTTCTCAACGTTTTGTGCTCCACTGCCACCTATTCTGAGCCAAATCACTTGAGTCAATATCACCCTATCTTATCTCTGTAAGATACATTTTAATATTATCCACCCACCTACTGCTTGGTCTCCCTATTTATATTTAACTGTTACATAACATTTTCAGTTGATCCTGCCACACTAGAGGATAAGAACAGAATGCCTCCTCGCAGAGTAATAACTCCACCACCATTGGTGGAGTTATGTGTAACTGAGTTGATGAACTACCTTCGTAGAGAGTTAATGTTATGCAGTCAAGTGCGACATTACCAACACAATTCGCTTTTATTGCGCCGAAGAGGTATTGATGCTGACAGTCTAGTTGCAGAACTGCGAGATCATCTGGATTGTCTTCCACCAGCACTTAGTGAGATGGTTCGACAACAAATAACAAACAAGTACATATTTAATCTGTTTTAATTATACCAATTGAAATAGGCGGGGTAAATATGCATAATTAGCTACTTCCAGTTCAATTCAATCTGTATCTGTCCATATTTATGTAATTTAAAAGGCTTTCCAAACACTCTTGATTGGTCTGATATGATAAGGGAAAGCTGGTAAATCAGCATAGGGGAACTGAATAGAAAGACCAAAAAGTGGCATTTTTTAAGGTGCATTACTGTTCTGCTGTTTTTTGTTAGTGTAATCTCAACAGGCGCATTCCATTTTACATTTAAGTAATGTATTGACATAAGACAGTTATTCATCAGTTGGGGCTGCTGATTGTCATGTCATTCTGGCATGATGTTTCATATTTGCAATATGAGGCTTTTCTGATTTTGTTGTTATTATGACATTTTTATAGATATTTATGGACTGCGGTACTAGTAACATGTGGTGAATGTGTTGTTAATTGAAATAGTTTGTATTGTATCAAGAGATGAGAATGTACAAAACATTTTTTAGAGAGATTGGAGATAAAGAGCATGCTTAATCTGTGTATTTTATTACCAGGAACAGTTATTTATTTATGTGACTCACTTCACAAAGCTGTTTGCACTAATTTTTTACACCTGTTCCTCTCTTTGTTTCATGTTATTTTTAACTGGATTTAAAAACGGTGTTTTAAAGCCGTTAGTTTCATCATGTCCAGGAATCCATTAAACTGCTAGTAACAGAGTCTGTATGCTGACATCAGTTCTGTTTAAAGTTGGTACCTGTCTATGGTTCTACAGTTGTTTGTTGGACCTTGGCTGCTTTTTCAGTTGCTTAATCCTATACACAGTCAGTAGGATGCCTTGGACAGGGGATCAGCCCATCGAAAGGCCGTTACCTACACACGGAACAGCACAAACACAGAATAAATGCATGCAGATATCCATGTTCTGAGTGGGATTCAAACCAATGATTGCAGTGTTCCAGCAAGCAAAGACAGTTCATGCTGTAGACCACACTGCCACTGTGGATTGGCTTAAATTTGGTATACCTACATTGTATTTTGTTCAGCTATTTTTATTTTAGTTTGGTTGTTTTACGATTTTGGTGAAACTTGATGTACAAAATTAATGTTAGTTATTACCACCTGTAAATTTCAGTGACCTTTAGTCATTTTAAGGGCACTTTCATTTGGGTTGAGTAGAGTACAGTAGAATTGAGTTTATTTGGGTTGAGTAGAGTACAGTAGAATTGAGTTTATTTGCATCCAATAGATTCTTCTCTGGGTTAAATGAAATGATATAGAACATATCATAATAAAAGTAAACAGATTTATCTCTCATATAATGTGTGTGCGTGTGCATGTGTGTGGAGAGCCGGGATAGCATAGTCAGTATAACAACTGGCTACGGGCTGGATGACCGAGGGGTCGGAGTTTGAGTCCAGGTAGGCCTAAGAATTTTCTTATCGCCACATCGTCCAGACTGGCTCTGGGGTCCACCCGACCTCCTATCCAATGGATATGGGGAGGCTCTTTCCCTTCAGTTGAAGTAGCAGGGCTATAAAACTGGCCACTCAACTTCAGATAGTGCTGAGGTCAAAAAAATTTGGATCTATACATCCATTCCCCATATGCCTTCACAGTGTAATTTACAGTTTTTCACTAGAGATAAAATCATCTACAGAGCAGAAGGAGTGAGTCAAGAGATGATCATATAATTCTATCTCAAATATTCAAGAACCCAAATCAATTTCATTTATAGGCTGCATATTTTCAGACGAATCTATGATGAGTAACGTAATCATAATTGTATTCATTTTGGCCCATCATACTAGTAAACTAAATTATAGAGTAATTGTTATCAGTGTCCAGTGTGTTTCAAATTGTACGCATTTCTTGCCTTTACATGTTTTAGTCAGCTGTGATCATCTTCAGAAGGCATAAAATAAACATGTTTAGGAACTACTATTACAAAGCTTATAACACATACTTAGAAGCTATTAGATTAAAAATCTTATTAATGTCTAAGATCTTGAATCAATATGGTTTGTATCCTTGTGCCTCTTCTGTCAAAATGGAAAGCGGGGATATTATGTGGCATCCTCAGAGGTCCACGCAGTAATGCCCCCTTTTTTTAGCTCATTAAAATTCTGCATTGTTGTGATGTGTAGTTGTTTCCTTTTGACTGTGTTTGAGGCACTATATAATAGCTTCTAAGTATGTATTATGAGCTCTGTAATAGTAGGTCCTGACATGTTTATTTTATGCCTTCTACAGATGGTCACAGCTGACTGAAACATGTAGAGGCAGTAAATATGTACAAATTGAATCACACTGGATGGTGTTATCAATTATTCTGTAATTTAATTAATCATATACTGTGCATAATTTATACAAGTTTTGTCTTGTTTCATTGTATGTAATTTATTTGAGCCACTTTATGTTTGGGCTTAGCGCTTGTGTTGATTTCCAGAGGGCTGGATAGCGAGTGCTGTATAAATATAGTCTCGGTTTCTTACGAGGTAGAAGTTGCCTGATGACTGTTAGACTGGTGAGGTTTTGTGTTAGCATATGGGAGGCTCCCACAAGTGTTAAAAATATGGCAGAATACTGATTAACACTTGAAGCATATCTTAATATGTATATAAATCTTTATAGAGTGTTATGATATGTTCCAATTTCAGATTGTTGAGTAGTTCAAAGCCCATGGCAATCGATAAAGGGCTGTTGGTGGGAATGCTTGATATTGTGTTGAACATAGAAGTGAAGACACTGGAGTTCGGGGATTCTCAGTTCCGCTGTAATTCGCAGATCTGGCCTCTGGTGCTCAAGAAATGCACTGGTCTTCAAAGGTGATCAAATACACATTGAAAAACTATATTTCCACTTATAGACACAAAAAAAAAATAGTTTTTAGAATAACAAACAATATGGTACAGTTACTCCTTGTTATATATGAGTTTGTGAAACACAAATTCATTTTAATGCAGTCAACTTATTGCAGTCTTTGAAGCCACTTGAACCCACTGTATCCTGGAATTCAATTCACAGTTGTCTCCTCCTACAAAAACGCAGAAAGAGTCATACAGTGTTAGATGGAGGGATTACAATAGGTAGGAAGCACCACATCACCATGCATGGTGAACTGCTCTTGTATAAACTGTGACAGTCATTTTTAGAAGACTGGATCATTATCTGCTGCACTGATGAGCTTACCACTGCTCCTCACATGGTCATTGCACGTTTTCATCTGTAAAAATTTATGTTATCATTTTTCTCAGTCCCTCCAGCTGAATGTCAGGTTAGTACTTTGACATAGGTCATAACCACTTCCTCTCCATACTTTATTTGACTGTAAATGATGATAACCATATGCAATGCTAAATAGCATCTTCATTTGATACATCATAATTAAATAACCTACACAAACAATCTGAATTGTGTTTGATTTCAGGTTTGCATTGGTTTCCAACATGTTCACACCAGACAAAATATCGGATGTTCAACCTTTTCTTATTTCACTTGCCTCCAACTGTCCATTGCTTACTGAGCTCATTTTGAAGGATTCAGTACAGGGTCCTCTCACTCTGGCCGCAATTGGAAAGAGCTGTCACCTGCTCCGAACTTTGGATGTCACCGGATCTCAAATCAGTTGCTCTGATCTTGTCTATCTTTGTGTTCAGTCACCACCAACTGTTGTCTCAGACAAGTATCTTGTAAGTATGCATTTGTAACTTTTTTGAACTCTTTTACCGTTGGTGAAGCAAAAATAATTCATTTAGGTTATTTTAGCAACTGTTTATTAAAATTGTACACCTATACAATTTTGTTTCAGTGTTTGTAAATATCATATTTTATCACATGATTCACACACTTCATTTCCTGAAATTCTGTAATAAAACCTTTGGTTTTTGATTTATAAAAAATGATCCATCATGGAAAATATTACTGTCTACTTGACCTTTCAATAGAAGTGAAACCTTTTTATGGACTCTGAATAGTGTACCCAATCATAGTTACATGGTAATAAAATGTAGCTGTAACACATTTTCTTTTAAGTGCTGTACAAAGCTTTCACTGAAGTAAAATATTAATCATGAAATGCATGTATGATTTCTATATTCCTTAATTTTGGATCTCAATCATCCCATCACCTCTGCTCAGCATAGTATCTTAACTGTTGTATTCATGTTGCTGCAAGTCACGCCACACGATCTAGCATAGTAAACAATGGAAAACGATTCTTGCTGAACCTCACTGGATATGGTGTCTTCCCACTCCTTCAGCTTACATGGTTGCTTTGCAGTTTATACCATTCAGATTTTTATCACATTAGTGTAATCCTTCATACATAAGAATAGCATATGTAAATTATACACGGATATATTGTAATGTGTTGTCCTGTTGCTATGCAGCAGTCAAGAGAAGGAACGTGCTTTGCTTGGTAACAGCTCAGTAAACATGTTCCCACAGAAATGATATCCAGACCATTGCTAGGCAGCCTCCCATAACAACAATAGAAGAACTGTTGGAGGCAGTATTTTCTTTTGGGTCTGCCTTGGGGCTACATAGTGAGGACCCCAGGCTGGCTGAGAGTTCAGGTGTGGAGTTTTAACCAGCAGGAGATGGCATGACTACAGAAGCTGAAGAATCTCCAATGTTAGAAGCCATTGCCTGGAAACGGCTAGTGGAGACTAATAGACAGAGGACACTAGTCTGTGTGTGTCAATGATCTGTAAAGTGTAGTTCAGAGTGGTGTATACAAGAGGTCAATAAATCCAATCCATACCCCGTCTATAGTCACACCCTTAAATACATGACATTCCAGTGTCAGAAGTGGTTGGGTTGGATACTGCATTGGATCTTGAGGGTTATACCATCATTAACAAAAATGGAACAAATGATGGAAGAAATACTAGAAGACCTGCTGGCAGTTCAAGACAAGATGAAGGCATACAGCAAAAACACAGGCCTTCTTGCAAGAGATGATGGCCTGCCAAGAAGCAATAGACACCATTCTGGAAAGTAAGGAGCCACCTTCAGTGCACATAGAATCCATGGTGGAGCATCAAGGTATCCCTAAAGAAGATGCTGTAGTGGATACTGTTAGAGCACAGAAGAAGTAGCATGGGGACCAGCAGCTAATTGTAGGGCGCCCCCAGAAGCCAAAGGAATGGACCCAGGGTGATGGTGGGTCCTGGGAGAAGTTGACAATAGAAAAAGTGGACTGGGGAGAGTGTTTCAAGGGGAACCTTGAAAAGACAGACATTCAGGAAGAGACATTGGGCAAAACCATAAAGCATCACTGGAATAAGGAACCAAAGCCAGAGACAGCAGCTACATCTGAGGATGGAGAGGACTGAGCAGGAGACAGGAGCCACATCTGGGAAGCAAGGAGACATTATATGAGGCCCATGGACAAACTCACGAGTTGGAGTACGCAAAGCAAATAATTGGGACTCCCATTAGACTGTGGAATATGAGCATCAGAACATGGTGGAGGGGTCGACCCTCTGCAAAATGAAAGAAGAGACCACTAGTAAGATCATGAGCCATAAATATAGGAGCATTGAGTATTCTCAGTACTTTGGCCCCTACCAATTGGAAAAGCGGGATTGTGGTGATAAACCAGGATTGACTGGCACCCTATCAGAGAGCTGATTGGGATGACTGGCCTTAAGGAGGGAATGGTGGGAGCAGTTTGAGAGTAAACATCGTGGAAAACCGAGCCACTGGAAGTAAGGTGAAACCAAGCACAGCCCTCAGAAAAGAAATTGTGATATGCCTGTAGGCCATTTGGGATGAATAGCCTTAAGAAAGGAACAGTGTAACGCGCAGTACCATTGCTATGCAGTTATCATGAGAGGGAACTTGGTAATGGCTGGGTAAACACGTTCCCATGGAAACAATATTTGAACTCTTGCTAGGCACCTGCCTTTAACAACAATAGAAGAACTGCTGGAGGCATTGTTTTCTGTTGGGCTTTCCCTGAAGCTATGTAGCAAAGACTCTAGGTCAGCTAAGTGAGTTCAGGTGTGGAGTCCAGTGGGTGATGATGATGATGTCACCACAGAAGCTGAAGAATCTCCACTGTTAAAGCCATTGCCAGGAAATGGCTAGTGGAGACTGTAATAGACTGCAGACATTAGTCTGTGTGTGTCAGTGATTTGTAAAGTGTAGTTCCAAGGGGTTTATACAAGTGGTCAATAAATCTAGTATCCAATCCATACCCTGTCTATAGTCACACCCTTAAATACATGACAGTATTGTTTCTTAATCTGAAAACTGTAAATGACAGTATATGAGACGATGATGTCTGCAGTGAAGTAAACTGTATACTGTATTTTTTAACTTAAAAACTTGCTGTAATCTGAGACAGTGATTTATTGCATTTCCTTTTTGCTGTGAGATTTGAATAAAAATCACTATTAAAGTATGCTTTTATGTTTATTTCTTGGGGAATTACTGCACATAATACACAGCAGAACTGTTCCATCTGTAACAGTGAAAGGTTTAAGTAAGTTATGAAAACGGTATTTGATTTATGGTTGTAAATGTTTTCAGACTTTGGAGAAGTAAAATTGGTTGATGGGCTAAAACTTAAAAAGACGTTTTGGTGTCAATAATATAGTGCACAAGAATTCTCCAAATTCTTCTGTTATGTTATGATCAACAATTTCCAGCTGAACCATTCTACGTCACTCTGCTTTAATGATAGATCCTGCAGTAGCATCTGAAAACTTAACAACTTTCAGTTTATTGAGCCAGTGAAAATTCAGAAAATATTATTTATTGAGATTCTGTTATGTATTTGTGTACAGGTGCCATAAAGATTGAACGCCTTATGAGGATGTTATTTTCAATTTGTGCTGATTTGACCTTTGAAATTCTTTTGACAGGATAGTGCATACGAGCAAGAGTTCAATCCTCTCTGTCAGACCTTGGAGATGCTGCTTCTTGGTAACACCCGCGTCAGAGCCAGAGGTGCAGCCTTCATCCTGAGGGTGTTTCCTAACCTCACTTCGCTTGGAAACTTTGTGTTCACAGCCTCAGCACTGAAAAGACTGTATGGACCGAAGACTAGACCCTGGCCAGGCCACAAACTGAAACACGTACTACTCACTTTAACATTTTTTCATCAAAAAGAAAAAATATAGAATTATGTTTTATTTTCAATTTGGAATTCATTGACATAGTCTGTATTATTATTATTGTCTTCAAACTATTTGCCAAGCAGATTTGTCTCAGTGATCTGTATTTAACTTCTACTCAGGAAGCACGAATCTTGTTCAAGGAACCAACTGTGGCAGGGGTTTACTCTCTGCAGGCAAGTGCAAAGATAATGCATGGAAATAAGTCACAACTGTTTCCTCCCAAGTTCCATTTAATCTTCCACTGCGTAATATTACTGTCATCACACTAAATGTGAAATAACCTTTCCAGTTAATACTCTCCCTTTAAGTGGCTAATATAATCTTGTACATAATCAAGCCTAAGCCCACTGTGGACACTACAAGCAATTTCCATGTTTTAAAAATTATATTTAAAGATTATATATTTTAAAGATTATCAAAACAAATCCTCCATCTGGGTTGCTATGTAATGCATTTTTTGGAGATTACATGAGATTGTGCCATTATCCATTCCCAATTATTTTGTAACATTATGTAAAATCCATTGTCAAACCATTTCAGGCATTCTACCGTGGACCTTCCGATGTCAAACTGAAAGTTTTGGCTAACTGTTGTCCAGAACTGGAGTCACTGTTTGTTGGTTCTGAAGTTCCACGAAGAGTAGGGTTTCATGTGAGTTTCTAATTTATATCTTAGTTATGAGAAATATGAATTTAGTTTTGTTTTCATTGATGGTTCATAGAAAATTTGAAGGCAGTATACCTGGTTCAGGATAGGGACCAGTGGAAGGCTCTTGTGAACATGGTAATGAACCTTCGGGTTCCATAAAATGTTGGGAAATTCTTGAGTAGCTGCAGAATTGGTGGCTCCTCAAGAGGAGCTCAGCTTCATGAGTAAGCATGTGAGTAAGTAAGAGTGGTTATTAACCTATCATTAAGGACTCGTCCAGTTAATTAGGTAGTTATAGTCAGTTTTGTTGTAAGAATATGGGATATTGAGTTTGAGTATTTCTCTTTTACAGAATTTTATGGCTTTTAAAATGCTACGGCGCTTGGCTTTAGAGCAGATTGAGTGTGAAGATATCATGGCATGGCTGAGACACACTCCAAATCTTGTTCAGCTGCACGTGAGAATTTTCTTATAAAAATGCCTTGTGCATGCTACTTACAAATTGTCAGTAAAATAGTGTCATGTTTAAGGTGTGTGTGACTATAGACATGGCATGGATTAGATATAGGATTTATTGACCACAGGTACACACCACTTGCAACTACACTTTACAGATCACTGACACACACAAAGACTAGTGTCCTCATTCTATTATAGTCTTCATTAGCCGTTACATGGCATTGGCTTCTAATAGTGGAGATTCTTCAGCTTCCGGTGCTCAGGTCCTCTTATCACAGCCACCTGTGGAGAACTCTTGTCAACTGATGACTCAACTAACTAGGTCCCAGACTGGTGGTCATTTCACATCAACCTCCTAGTCTTCTCTTCTCATGTTACTTCCAACTGAACTCTCTCACTCACCAACCAGCAACTTCACATCACTTCACTGAACTGAATGCCCGACAACTGACTACTCCAGAACTCGACTAGCATTGCTTATGACATTTCGGCAGGAATGTCATAGAAAACACAATTTCCACTGTTGTAGTCCAGCAATACCTTAACTGTTGCCTAGCAATGGTTGTTGTTTACAGACTCACTGCTTAGCAACAGGTCTATACAAGACAATAATATCATCATTTGTTGTTGAATTATTACCTGAATTCTAATATAAAGATGTTACATGACAAATTATCATTAACCGAGAGAAGAAATCCATGTGGAAATGCAAACTATGTGATTTCCAGTCTTATTTTTTTATCATTTCAAGAACATTAATTATATGTATATGTGTATATTTGTCTATGAAAGTTCCCTTGGTTTGAGTCTGGGAAAATGTAAATGTTTCCATGACTGAATTCTGAATTTCCAAAACGTCTGTATGTGTAACCACACTGAAGTTTTTCATGTTTTTTCTGATGTCATGGTTCACATATGGGTGGGGCATGATTCATATCTCTGCTGCAAGAATGTTCTCTTGATTAAGATGTTTTACAGCTTTCCGCAATTCCATTAATGCAGATGCTGACACATTCTTTTCAAACGGGCTGGACATCTGGGGTTTGATTCTCAGCAGAGCAAGGTATTCTTCTCTATTCCACAGCATCCAGACTGACTCTGGGGCCACCCAACCTCCTATGCAGTGGGTACCTGGGGCTCTTTCCTTGGGGATAAATCAGACAGGGCATGAAGCTGAGCAGTGATCTCCATCTTCTGCTGAGGTCAAGAATGGTGGAACTATACTTCCACTCTCCCGTACATCTTCATGGCATAGTGCTTAATTAAGCAAAGGGATAACTTTACCCTTTTTCTTTCTTTTTTTTTTACTGTTTCTCATTTTCTATTATGTAATATCTGTACTTGAGACAACACCATGAAATAAACCAAAGAAAACAGTTTTTGTAGAACTTATATATGAAGAAATCCTATACGTCAAAATTTTTAATTTCACATTACCTGTGTTCTGTTGTATTCTTGTTGATTTTTTGTATTCATTCATTGTCAGATATCTAGTCCTGGTGTCGATGTTGGTATTGTGGGCCAGTGTTGTCCTCTGCTGGGGAAACTGACTGTTACCGAGGATCCTTCTCGAACTGTTACAATTCCAAATAGTGAGACTCCCATCTACAGCAAACTTCAGGAACTCAAGGTAATGGTTAACTATAAGGAAAAAGTTATTTTTCCTTTAAATGATCTTCCCTTCAGTACGAGTTGGCTAAAATTGTCTCCATTGCAGATGGTATGTGTAATTTCACTGGACTGTGGAGCTCTATTCTTTACCAGCGCACCAAAGTTGCGGAGTATTGAAATAATACGCATCCGGAAATTGTCAGATGCTGTCCTATCTTCATGGCTCAGGAGAAATTCTCTACAGTTTCTGGAAGTGGTAACAGAACAAATTGTACTTTAAAATGTAATCAGTTTTATTAATTGATGTTTACAAACATTGAAGTCATGTCATGATTTAATGATCCCTGGCCCTGCCTGCATGTGGCATAGCAAGCCCCATTTTGGGTGAAAAATTACAGTGGTATCGTGAGACCTTTTCAACTCAAAATGTTGAAGCATGCTGTTACATGCTTGCGTTGATCAGCGTATGGATGAGAATGTTTCGCGGCAGGTGGTGATTCATTTGCAAAGCAGAGAGTTTGGCATTGCATCTCGCAAACATGACTGTCAGTCAATGCTGTTTTGAGGTGGACATTCCTCATATCACTATTGACCAGTGCATGTTCTGTGGCAGGTAGCAACGAGCTCTGATACGAGGAACATTAAACCATTGCAGGACTGTAATGCCTAGTATGTAGGTTTTCTCATGGTGGGGAGTGTTCAGATCATGATATTCTGAGTTGTTACACAGTGTGGTACTGTAGGTGGGAAGCAGCGTTTCAGAGGAGCAGCTCCAGTACATATTCAGCAAGAATATATTGTCACATGCTGGGAATTCGGAAGGTATACTTCCAAGAAAAACCAATAACAGTGGGCCGTTGCCTAGGAATACCTTAAGCAACAAATGCGTTTCCCCGGAGATGAAAGGACAACAGAGGGTTCGTTGCATCACAGCGGCCGAGACCAAAGGCTCCTACATGGTGCGTTCTATTCACCCCGAGACCAGGTTATAAAAGTCCAGCTTCAAAGGGACCAGACAGTTGACAGTTGAGTTCTAGAAGTTACCAAGAATGGTTCAGTTTGTAGCTCACCTTAGAAGATAGCCAGTCTTCAGGTAGCTCCAAGGGAAGAGAAGAATTCGCTGAGATTAGCAGTATAAAAAGTAATTATAACAGTGTTGTAAGAAATGTCTGACGACATTACACATGGATAATAATTGTACATGGAAGTGTAGAGATCAGCCAATAAACTCTTTCACTAAATCTGAATCCTGCATGAATCGATTTGTCACATTACATAGGCAACACACAACAATATTTTGACACTGAAGATGGAGTCAGCAAGTTTCTCGAAAATGCTGTCCATTTACAGTACTGCATGGTTTCACAATCCAGAAGACTGCAGTTTGGGGTAATGCCTGTTCTTTGCTCTTTGGTGACATATGTAATATGAGGCTACGTTTCTCAAACTTTCTGATTCACAGACCACTGCAATGTCACTCATTTTATGAGGGCAGTCTTCCACTGTGTCATATGAACGGTACTCTGCAAATTTAATCTTACTAGCACATCTGAACATGTAGATTCTAAAGGGTTCTGACAATGACTGAGAATTACTGAGTTTTGTACTTTGTCCTTCATCCAGTATTCTAGAAACTAGAAAACACAACCTTTTGAAAACTGTTCTGTTTCCATCCTCAGGTGAGGGAGGGAAGGTACCTACTCCGTTGGTTCCCTTAGAAAGGGCTCATAGAGGTTATGTATATTCATATGTAGTGAAATTAATATCTTACAGAATTTCAAGTAAGGCTTCCAATTGTCTATTTAAATGCGTTCACGAACACTTCCACAAGCAAGTAATAAATTAAAAGTAAAGCTATCCCTGTAACAGGCCGTGAAGGCCCACAGGGGTGTGAGAGGTCGAGGCTCCAACATCTTCTAGACAGTCAGCTTATAGATGATGGTAAGGTTGTCAGCCTTATGCACCAGCTGCCCTTTACCTAGTATTCATTTCTGTTAAAGGCTGAGTTGACCCCAGGGCCATAGTGCAGCTGGAGGGATTAGGTAAATTGAAAAAAACCTACCTCATTGGAACGCCAACCTGTGACCTTCTGGCTTGTAGCATAGTCCTCAACCAGCTACACTACCGCATGCCCCCCACTTTAAACATTAGCAATTAAAAATTATGCACAAGAATAGATGAAGTGATTTAAATAGAAGTCTCCCGTATTTGCAGGTCACCATATAACAATTATAGTGTTTATCTACATAAATAACTTTGAAGCAGTCCTTCTTGAAAACCTAATAGTCAATCAGCTGATCAAGAAATCCCCTGCCTGTTATAAAACCCAAAAGTGTATTAGAATATTAACACAAATCTGCCAGAGGTCATTTTTGTGCATTGTAGATCTTTAATGTTTTCTATTAACAGCTGATGCTTCGGCATGTGGAATTAACCAAGAGAAGTGTAGATATGCTCTTGGAACGTTGTCCAAATCTCACCCGGTTAGGTGAGGTAGCGTCATGGGATGTACGTTCTTGGGAATGCCGCAGACTCATGGATTGGGTTGCACAAGAGAACTATGTTCTTGAGCTTGTGCCCTATCCTTCTCGTACTCCTGCCACTATTCGTGAACTCCTTACTGATAAATGGGATTACTGGGAGTCAGATGAAGACACAGATGGGCAGCCCTAAAGGTAAATGACTAAGCAGTTCTTATGTTGGAATCTCTTCTCTCTGTAGTTGTTCAGGTCTGTTGCATTTTTGATAGCAGTCAGTTTGGCTGTATGAAGCAGTAATGGTTTAATTATCAAGTAGAACCCTTGTTATCCCAAATGAGCTGCTTCTGGTTTCCTTGAGGATAGCTTCCTTAGACCCTCTATGATTCATGGCACATATACAGTATGCATCAAAATATCAGTACTGAAACTTGTGCATCTTGAACGCGTATGTGTGTTTGTCAACGGGGCAATAGCTCCAGCTGCATGTATTCTCAGTAGTGAAAAGGAAGTTGTGTTGTGCAGTTGTTGTTGGAAATGGGTCTCTCGACAGAGGAAAAAGTATTCATAGTTGAGTATTGTTTCTGCTAATACAAAAGTGGTCGCCAGCAAACTCGCTTCCCTGGTTTTGAGCGGCCAGATGTTATCATCCAAAAACCGCTACATAATACACATGTGACAATATGGTATGCCATCTCAGCACACGGTATATTAGGCCCCAATTTCATTGAGGATGAGGAAGGCAATGCTCTTACCGTCACCAAAGAATGCTACAGGGACATGGTGATCGGACCGTTTCTTCAGGATTTGAGAAGGTTCTGTCAAGCAAGGGGCTTTCACATGCATTGACAGTGGTATCAACAGGAAGTCTTTTCATTTCAGTACTTACTTTTTGGCTCATACTGCACATGTCTGATTGCATTCATTTCTAAGTAATGTCTATTGGTAAAATGTTAGGGAACCTATGAACCTACTTCTGGAGGGAAGGGGTTTAATGTCATCTCCAGGTAGTGTGAAATTGTGAGTTGATCCTACTCATAACAGAGGCCCTTAGTGAGAAATTTCTTCATTATTTTCTTATAGAGTTTCAATACTTGATTTCAAGTTAGTAAGTGAATATGATTTACCTTCCATATACAAATGTAATTGATAAGCACACATGCTGTTGTAACTCTCTTCACTGCCTTGTTCTCACCGCAACTAATTGGTCCCACAGAAGTTTGGAACCTAACATGCCAGTATACCAAATGAACATATCCCCAGAAAGTCTGTAATTAAATATTCCTCCCATGTTATTGGGTGGTCTTCTAGGATGTGTTAACATCAGTTATGGTGGTAAGCAGAAATGACTCGTTCCAAAACATGTAATGGTATTTTCAGGACAGTTTTAGTTCTGCAGGACTAAGGATTGAAAGACACACTTGTGTTAGAAATTGCTAGTTTGCAAGATGCAGGATGTAACACCTTGACTTTTTTGACCCATGTCTCACTCAGTAAGTGTAAGCAATCCATTTGCATTAAGAATGCCATGAGAGCCAAAGAAATAGCCATAACTTGACCTGGTACTGTGAAGGTACCTCACACAGATGTGTTTCCAATCAGTCGAAGCATTGCAGTTGGATAAATATGACAACTCACAGTAGCACCTGCATGTATTTTCCCAAGATTCTTCTGTTTAGACAGACATATATACAAGTTTTAGATGATTCCATATTGCTTCGCATGTTTTGTTTGCAGTGTGACTGGTAATGTTATCTCCTCTGCAGAAGTGGAAGAATGCATCTTTGTAACTACGTCCACTGGCAGAATATCTGCAGTAGGAACATGACATGATAATTACTAAAAGTTATGTCTTTTATTTTCTAACACATATTTGTCATGAACTTAGATTAAACAGATAGGCCATTAAATGCTTGCAGCTGGCAAACAGCATGAGAAACCTAACATAATTTTGATGTCATTTTCAATTTTAGGTTGCTGTGAATGGTGAAAGAATAACCATTGTGCATTGATGAGATCACAACAATCACCACCCAGTGGATCTGGATCAAAAGACAAAAATGATACTACCTAATTAGCTATCTTCAGTTCTTTATTCTGTACACAGAAGGGAAGGGAAGGCAAGGCAAGGCAAGGCAAGAAGTTGGAATCTGTCTTAAGGCAATGTGAAAAGGCTGGAAAATAAAAATAATTCTCATACATATCATGAAACTGATGAAGAAAATGTTGCTGAACCAACAGCAAACGAGGTTAGTACCCTTAATATTCGGAATTTTGAATGGCTTTCAACACCCACACTCCCTGATGAGGAGGTTGTTCAAAAAGAGCAGTGCTTGCCACAGATATGACAGCCTCTGGAATATGAGAACAGTGCAGATTCTGACTTCATGCCATGGCTAGAGTAGAAAAATGAGAAGCAAGACACATATGACAATGACAATTTAATTTTTTCTGTAGTTTTATGAGTCGTCGTTTACATTCCTTATAGAACGGACAATACTTTGTAAGATGAGGCACCGACAAAATAATTAACAAATATTACTACATCTACATCACGAGCCTCCAATAACAGTTTTTATACACAAAATATAGAATACTCTAATTTGCCCAAGGGAGTGAAACAAAATCATGAAACCAACAACTGACTCGCTGATGTAAAGTATCAATTGAAGAATTTTATTCTTGTTTTATACTATAACTTTGGTTTATATAACCTATTTATTGTATTTTTACGTCAACTATTTTTATATAATTAATATTATTGTATCCTATTTTATTAATACTGCAGTTCAGTGATGTATATATGTTAGCCATGTATTTGCCTGATGATGGCTATTAATAGCCGAAACATGTAGCAGAACCAAAATCAGGCACTGACCTTGATGTGGTTGTGTTGTGACGGTTTTAAAGAAGTTATGTAAAAAGTAAAGCTATCCCTGTAACAGGCCGTGAAGGCCCATGGGGTTGTGAGACGCTGAGGGTCCCACATTATCTAGACAATCGGCTCAAAGATGGCGGTAAGGTTGTCAGATTTACATGCCGGCCGCGCTTTACTCCCCAGGAAAATTATTTAATTAATTCCTGGTACTCATTTCTGTGTCGACCCCAGGGCCATAGTGTGGCTGGAAGGATTAGGTCATTGTCTAGGTATGTCTTACAGATGAAGCCATATCTTGTAGGTGAGCAGACTTGTGATCACATAACAAGAGACATAAGTTTGTCGCATATCTCATGCATCTTATTGCTGTGGTGGGTGACCTACTGTATAGATATAGTAATATGTTTAAACCTTCTCAGGCCAATGTCTTTCTTAAAATAGAGATGTAAGGCCTCTGGTTGTTTTACAGTCACTTGTTTTATGGGTGTAATATTCTTTGTGTTTGTCAGAAATTTCTTTGTATACTGGAAGTTATATATTGTAGTGGCACAGCTTGTTTTTTTTTTTCTTTTTTTAGTACCTGGTTTGAATCTCAGGGAAGTGGGGAGTCAACATATTTTGACTTGAGGTTTGTTGTGGATTTTGGCAGCCCCAGATACCAAAATGGTTCCTTAAAACAGGCCATCTATATTCAGTAGGTTCTCACAGCAATTGTAATGAATCTTCTGGGATATAATGCCATGTAGCATATTGAAAGTCAACTGACATTGCGTGGCTTACTGTTTAACCCTGGCGATGGGGGCAATTTGTTCCTCTGAAAAATTAGTTGGCTTTTAACAGATTACTCATACACTCTGTTGTATTCCAGAAGATAGAACTCATCATTCATACCTTTACAACTTGTTATTTCTTATTTAATGTTATATTATTCATTTAATTGTCAAAGCACTGTTAAATGAACCAAGAATGGCCCATACTTCAATCTGTGTTACTTGTTTCATCATCATCACCCACCGCCACTGCCGCCACCGCCACCATGGTTGTCGAGTTTGTTGTTTTCGTTGGTCACCCTGTTTGTGGTGAACAAATCAGTGTCAGTGGTTGAAAGAATACTCAATGTGATTCCTTCATTTTAATTCTTAAAAGGGACTGTTAACTGCATTGTGTACATTTCATTAGACAATTAACTCTTAGGAATTGATATAGTATGTTTCTTATTTTCTTCTGTAGACAAAGAAACTGTTTATGTTATACGTATGATCATGAAGGCTGTAGTTGATAGATACCTAAGTATAAAGTTTTAACCTCTGATGGCATGTTTTTGTAATAGATAAGTGCAAGGCTATTTTATACATGTGCAAACAAAACAATATTTTAAAATTGCTGTCTTCTTTGACACCCTGTGGTTTTGGAGAAAGGTAGTTCTTTAGAGGAAACTGATGCCTCCATTTCTGCCCTGAAAATGGGGATAGAGGGTTTCTCCAGTATATAATGACCTATGGGACTACACAGTGTTACAAACTAAATATTTATTATCAAGAACCTGCCATGTCACATAGTGTTTGTGCATTTAACTGGTGGTACGAGTGTTGCACATATGTAGAAAGAAAGAAAGAAAGCCACAGGTGTGAAGAGTTTGGCTGTGTGCTCAGTATGTGTAGTAGTGCTTGGTTACGTGTTTACTTGTTATCATATAGGAGTATGTATGCTATCTTGTGTGCCAAAATCTAATTTTCTTACATTACTTAACTCCTAACATGCTATTAAAAATCAGAGATGAAAACAATGCAAGAGCCCCTCCTTTATTGCCATAAAACTCAGAAAAAAATGCTTGAAAGTATAGCTGAAGTGTGTTTTGTTAGCTAATGAGAGACAAGATATGTGGCCAGATCTTGAATGTGCTTTGAAAACCTTACACATATCAGGTCTTGAATTTCTTGTGAATTTCCGGCCTTCGAAGAAAGTAATGGCTGCTATTTTCTTAATGTGTATCTTCACACTAAAATATAGTAATGGATTGCTGTATTTGCTTGCACAGAATTCTTACTGGGTTGAATATTATACTTAGAGAATTTACCCACTTACTCTTTAGAACACATTCTATTTTTGATGTCTGTTATGGAATACTGTTATTTTTGTCATATAAATATATAATGACAATCTTGAAATTATGTAAGATCTAATATTTTTTCCACTTACTCATTTTTTGTTGTTGAATCATGTTCATGTAAGGCCATGTATAGTTTATATTTGTCTTGAAGCATCTCTTGGTGCTGGGAGCCAATGAGAAAAGTAAGACTAAGTTCCTTTTTAACCTAGTGGTTTAGGCCAGTAGTTCATGTTTGGTCACAAATATTTTTTCTACATACAGGTTTAGTTTTAAATAATATTTTGATGTGGACTTTCCAGATTAAACAAACAGCAACAGCAACAGTGAAGTTCTTTCAGGGAATGACAAGTAATGTCTATGTTTATACAGATATAAGAGGTCTATTCGGAAAGTAACCACAGGTGAGTTGTTAACAAAACAAGCAATGAGGAAAGAAGAATTTATTATATACAAAAAATATGTACATACTTAAGCTACTTCTCAACATAGTCACTACCAGAACTGAGGCACTTATTGTATTGGGGAATAAGTTTTTGTATGCCTGTGTCAAGGAAGTCTGCTGCCTGAGAGCTAAGCCACATTTTATATTGTAAAACACTAAAGAAACTGCACAGGGCCATTCAGAATGAAAGGCGTGGAATGCTGACATCTGGTGTAGTGCTCCTCCATGACAGTACATGTCTGCATACAGCTACTTGCACATGAGCATTGCTGAAGTATTTGAACTGGGCATTGTTTGACCACTCTCCTTACAGCCCTGATCTCGCTCCGAGCGACTACCACCTGTTTACCTACCTGAAGTGGCTGAGATCACAGCGCTTCAACAGCAATGAAGAGTCGATGGAAAGTGTCAAATGTGGTTGCCTTCCTGTCACATCCGTTCTTTATAGGTTCTTTTTGCCACATTGTCCCTGATCTGCATTCTGCATTGTCTGTGTGATTGCTGGTCCTGTATGACTGCATCCCTTACACTGTGCCTCTCTTGGATGGCAGGACAATCCTCTGTGGGCAGTGGTCAATTTCTTCTGGGACACACCATTGCCCTGGGTCTGTTTCTTCAGCTATTGGTAGCACCCTCTGCCAGTCCCCATACCACTTCTTCAGTGCTGACAGTTTCCATTGCAGCCTCTTCTTTAGGGACTTCCTCATGCACTGCTACAGACACATCAGATGTTGGTCTATGCCGATGGCGTGAATCTCTTGGGTGATAATATAGATACCATAAAGAGAAAAACACAAACTTTAATTGATGCTAGTAACGAGGTAGTAACCTGATTCAGAAGGAAATTAAGAGGAGATTGAACTCTGGTAATGCTTGCTACCATTCAGTCCAAAACCTTTTGTCTTCTCATCTGCTGTTCAAAAACATAAAAATTAGAATATACAAAACTATCATTTTGCCTGTTCTGTATGGATGTGAAACATGGTCTCTGACATTAAGGGAGGAACATAGACTGAGGGTGTTTAGGAGAATATTTGGACCAAAGAGAGATGAAGTGACAGGAGGTTGGAGAAAACTGCATAATGAGGAGCTTCATAACTTATACTCTTCTCCAAGTATAATTAGAATGATCAAGACAAGGAGGATGAGGTGGGCATGGCATATAGCATGAATGATGGAGAAGAGGAATGCATATAGAATATTGGTGGGAAAGCCATATGGAAAGAGACCACTGGGAAGACCAAGATGTAGGTGGGTGGACAATATTAAAATTGATCTTAGAGAGATAGGATGGGATGGGTTGGATTGATTTGGCTCAGGATGTCGCTTGTGAACACGGCAATGAACCTTCGGGTTCCGTAAAATGCTGGGAAGCCCTTTTGAAAGTGTCTGTGGCTGTGTTCTTCAGAAATGTTTATAGCTGTTCCTTTATGGCTGGTAGATGATAGCACAATTAATCTAGACTGGGCAGGTAATTTGACAGGAACCAGCTGACTCAACACTGCATGAAATTCAGGGACAGCAGGAGGAAAAAAAAAACACTGACAAAGAGGGGGTTGTGAGATAGGATTATCACTTCTTATACTAATATTTGATTTTTATTTGTATTATAACCGTCAATACAACAAGTGGTATGGAAATATCTTCAATGGAGATAGTAGATGTTAATGTACATTTTACTTTATTTATTACAAATAACTGACCAGTAAATGGACTGAAATAAGTGCGTGATTCACAGTTTGTTCTGCCGTGCGAGATGAGGGTTGAACTGAGAGTGATAAAGCTGGGTTATAGCAGGTACATCATCAGACTTTGTTGTGTCTAACTCAGGTTCTCCACGCAGTCTAGCCAAAAGAGCTTCTGACCTTTTCCGTTCTTCTTGTTCTCGTTTCAGCCGTTGTGCACGCAGCTGTTCCAGCTTGTTGGCATTCTTTGGTGAGATGGACTTACTATCAGTACACTGCAAAGACATAGTGAGTTCAAGTATGGTAAGTTTTATTAAAAATCATAGTAATACGGGCAGACAAGTTGATATAAATTCTGATGATCAGAAGTTAAATGGTGAACCTTGGGCTCTAATGACAGATAAAATAATAATTACTTAATTTCAGTCTTCACTAGCTGCATGTTATATTATTGAAACAGTGCATGTGTACAGTCCAGCTGCCTAAGCACTTAATCTTTCAGTAGTAATATCATTATACCAAAGTCAAAATATGGCCATCAACCCCACAATAATAAAAAGGTAAAGTTCCTGTGCTTAATTAATTCAAATCTTTGCTGGCTTACCAGTTTTCCCACATGAAAGCTAGGACAGTGCCTTGAAATAGGTCATAATTACCTCCCTCCAAATTAGGTATGTGTGAGTCTTGAATTTTTAGACTGACTTGATTTGAACATCGATTTTTCAGTCTGCAACTTTGAGAATTTGCATACAGCTGCTTTGCTTTGTGCAGGAACACACAAACTACCTATTCCATCATAAGTTTTAATTGCTGGTAATGCTAAGCACAAATCAACTTAACAACAAAATTTCTCTCTCTGTCTCTCTGTTTCTTTCTGGTCACAGTGAAAAAGGTGGTGGTTCTAGAAGTGATCAATATTTATTTTTTGTTTTTGTTAAAAAAAAAGGATTTGTTATGGAAAGAAATACATTATGAAGAAGTGGATGGTGGTACAAATTGCAACTACAGTGAAAAAAATTGGTCAAGTAGAGAATATCCACATCTCAGTTCCAAAATCCTTTAATTACTCATTATTTTACAGTCATATTTCCATCTCACATGACACTACAATCTCTGCAGATTAAATAGTGTCATTAATAATTTAAAAATCTACAGGTTAATCATAAAGCACTGAATGCCCACTGTGACCAGGAGGCAGAAACACCTTTGATAACTGGGTCCATCACAAATGTCATATGCACTACTATGAAATTGAACCTAGGTTTCTACACAGAATTCAGTGCCTGTATGAACTATGGCACAACCTGTCCTCCCGATCTCAATCACATCTTTACAAATCCAAAACACAGCCCCTAATCATTCGTGAAGCAAACCACATGACCACTAGTCACCTAGATACCAGGATTTGATAAGAACAGTTTACTCACTTTAGCTGAAGTAGTACTGTCAGAGCTAGAACTGGAACCACTCCTTGTTCTCTTTGTACGTTCATGTTTCTTTGTCTTCTTTTTTGATTTCTTATGTGCCCTCCTTACTGCATTTTTCTCATTCTCTGTACATTTTCTCTTCTCTTCTCGGTTTTCATGCCTCCCCCTTCTCTCAAGATTCAGGTAGCGCCTGATGTCATTCAGTGGGTCACCTAGAAGTGTTTTCTTCTTACTGTCATTTCCAGATGAACCTCTGTCAGGAAGCTGCAATATCAACCATTGCAAGTACTCTGTTCAGTGAGCTACCACACAAAAATTGTCAATAAAACAAATTATATTATTAATGCAATTTTGTTTTTCATATGAACACAAGCAGGATATCAAGGTATCAAGATAGGAACGAAAACATTGTAAGACATGCCACTGCTTGTTGCGCAGAACACGTAACATTTTGACACACGTCATCTTTTCTTAGGCGCTGGGGATAGCTCAATCAGTATAGCAACAGGCTATAGGCTGGATGACCAGGGTTTGATTCCTGGCAGGGGCAAGATTTTTCACTTTTCTCCATTGTTCAGACTGGCTCTGGAGCCCACCCAGCCTGTTACCAAATAGGTATGGGATTAGGTGTTAAGCAGCCAGGGTGTGAAGTTGACCACTTACCATCACCTAGTGGAGCTATACCTCCACACCCCCGTGTGTTCATGACATAGTGCTTAATTAATTAAGCACATGGACAACTTTACCTTTACCTTTCTCTGCAATTTGGGATTTGATTGCAAACATTTGAGGGCTTCTTCTTTTGGAAATCGAAGATGCACGATTAATGCAAATTCAGTACAAAGCAAGCATGTATACAAGAAAGTCCAAGTTAGTGAAATGTTTTAGATTTATCACATAAAACAACACTACTGATTGACAGCAGGGCCATTCACCTACACATCAGATTTCACATCTTGATCACTTACTGAATTATGATTTAAGAACATGTCTGTTCTTTAGTAAACGTGCTATGCTAACAGAAAAATCAGTGCTGCAACAACATGAATCTCGACATGTCAATTTTCTTATAAAACTTTTGCAGTTTTTGCTTTAACAATCTACATACATCACATATTATAAGGCCATAATCATAACACTCATTATGAAAACATCAAATCTTACATAAACTGACCTAACTTGTGACAAAATTCTGATTTACTGAAGATACAAAAGTACATGTATTTACAAATATAAGAATTGTTTGTATTGACTTTGGAAGTACAATTACAGGTGTGTCTAAGTAAATATTATGAAAACATCATACAAGCAAGGGGGACATAAGTAACTAGTTACTGTATTGGAAAGATGTATCACCTTATTATACCATGACACACATCCAGTTGCTTCTACTGTGTCTTGCCCAAGGTATGTCAAGTATCCTATTTGCTTCTCATACTTCTCCCGTTCCTCCTTTTTCTCCTTCTCATAGTCAGCATTTGTTGCATTTGACACAACTATCCCTTGCTCTAGATCTTCAAATAGGTTTATATGCCGATGGGGCTCTTCACATACAGGAATGATTTGTCCACTCCGTAATAGTGACTTCTGTTTTAATGCTGCATTTCTTGCTTCTCCCTCCTATAAAAGACAAAATAATTCTTGTATCAACAATGTAATCTATCTAAACTGACACAGTAAATCAGATTTATACTTAAAAGAATTAGGTCTAACAAAGATACTTTAAAGAATGCAGTCTTCTGGGATTTGGCACCGTGTATATGTGGTGTTAACCGACGTTTCGGAGGAACGTATCGCCCCCATCTTCAGGGTTGAAGAAAAAGTATAAGTAAATCTGCAAGCGACAACACCGTGAGACACGATAAAGCAGTCTGCTTTATCGTGTCTCACGGTGTTGTCGCTTGCAGATTTACTTATACTTTTTCTTCAACCCTGAAGATGGGGGCGATACGTTCCTCCGAAACGTCGGTTAACACCACATATACACGGTGCCAAATCCCAGAAGACTGCATTCTTCATAGTCACCGCCGTGAAAGCCTCAAATCTTACAAAGATACTTTAATCTCCTTTATCCCCTAGCCAAAGCCTCTGTGGTCTAGTGGTCAGAGTTCCTGGCTATAGATCCAGAGGTCCAGGTTCGATTCCCAGTGCTACCAAATTTTCTGAGTAGTAGTGGGTCCACTCACCCTCATGAGGATAAGTGAGCAGCTGTTTCAAGGAAATAGTGACTCAGGTCTAGAACACCAAAATTAATGGCTGTGGGGATTTGTTGCGCTGACCACGTGACACACCTCTATCCGCTAATGTTGGCACTAACTTAGTCGACAAGCGGCCGTCACTTGGTCAGTATAGTTCGCTTGGAGACTAAAATCACGGAGTTTGTTTTTTTTTTGTTTGTTTGTATCCCCTAGCCAGAATAATGAGTTTTGATAATAATGGTCAATATGCAGCTGGATCTTAATACATCAGTGAATTCACTTTAAGGAGTACAGGGAGCTGAGATCAGAAATGTGAAATTGAAATATGAGTTCCATGTATATGATGTATCGGAACTTGTTCACAATCTTAGATTGTAACTACATACAGCTAATTGTGTACGCCTCTCCTTTTCTTTCTCTTCAGCAGCTACTCTTTCTTCATCCCGTCGCACTCTGGCCATATTCTCTCTTGTCCTCACATGCCATCTGTAAAATAGATTTCCGATTCCACATTTGTGTATTAAATAACAGGCTGCAGCTTAGACCTCAAAATAAAGTAATTGTGTCATTTAATATAATTTTTGTAGAATTACATTAATCATTACACCACAATTAAGGTCACTGGACATAACCTCACTTTGTGAGATTTGAAGGTTATCACGACGGCCACTATGAATATTACTGGCTTCTGGGAAGTAACCCTTAATATTGGGATAGACAGGTACACCGAAGATGGAAGCAGCATGTTCCTCCAAAAAGTTCATACTTATCTGCCACTTAACAATTAACATTATAACTTCCCAACAGTGCAAACTACTTTAGTTCACTAGAATATGACAATTTGTTGTGTACTAATTTTATTACCGTTTTTTTGGAAGAATATTCATTCTCGTGGTCTATATAAAAATTACACGGGACAAAACTCAGTTTTATAAACTCGGTGCTATACAAATTCTGTCATTGAATTTATTTCAGTTTCCTTCCGCCATTTATAAAATGGTATCTTGACAAGGATGCCAATCTGAGAGGTAACAACATTCGAAAGCCCAGAAAACGTAGCTATAGACACGCTATAGGCGCTATAGATACTTCTGACAGGAGTCTGTAATCCGTGACAAGAAATGGAACTGCAGGAAGTAGAAGACAAGCATGTCTAGTACTCCCAACAGATGTCGATAAGCGTCTGATTCTTCTGCACACATCGCAAACGAGGGCCAAAGGGCAACAGTGTTAGCTTTTTTGTGTGAGAACAGCAAAAGAGAATACCCAAAGTCAGTTACAGAGCTCTTAAGGCTGGAGGAAAAAAAGATTTGTGCAAGGAGTCTGTTACTTCATAAACAAAATTCTTAAATTTATTAAACAAAGGAGAATAATTAATAGTATATTCTTAGAGTTAAGCCGGGATAGAGCAGCCGGTATAGCGACTGGCAACGGGCTGGACGACCGACGGATCGGTGTTCGAGTTCCCGTAGGACCAAAAATTTTCTCCACGTTGTCCAGATCGGCTCTGGGACCAACCCAGCCGCCTATTCAATGGGTACTTGGGGCGGGGGGCTCTTTCCATGGTAGTAAAGGGACCAGGACGTGAAGCTGACCGATCACCTCCAACTAGTGCCGAGGCCAAGAAATATGAATATCCACTGCCCCATACGCCTTCCTGTCATAGTGCTTAATTAGTTAAGCACAGGGACAACTTTATCTTTATTCTGAGTTAAGAGAGATCAAAAAATCGCGGGGTGACCGCTATGATAGAATAAGATGTTTATAAGAATGTGCTACAGGAGGCTGGATGGGCATCACCTAGGCCATTTTTGTACGTATATACACGATTCTTTTTTCTTTCTTTTTTTCTCAAAATAAAAAAACCAATCACAAAGCTAGCAGCGCGTCCATTGGTCTGCAATTTTGACGGTTGAAAATAATTGTGATTCGTGGATTCCCGAGGATATTATTACACAGCTGTGTTGCAATTGTAGATTCTAACATGATGAATTGTAAATTTTCTAGTGCAGGTGGTGTCACAACGTCACTGTGAAATCTGAAATTCGAGTTTGTAGCCCATATTTTGGTAGCCGACCTTTCTACATATTTTGGTGAATTTTCTGTTGACTACATTTGGTAATGTAAAGCAGTGTATTTTATCTGAATTTGACTGACTTGCAGAGTACAGCCAAAGGAAAAAACGTGGATCCACATCGCAACATTTCTCCAAACTGAGAAGAACATCTCGAATTTTCACTTCTCAAAATTCGGTACAATATGGCTATGTAGTGTGGTGAAGGTAAAAGCTGAAGTTGTTCATTGCTTAATTAATTAAGCGTAACGCCATGAGGAGTTAATGGAGGAGTAGATGTATAACTCCACCATTCTTGATATTGAGGTAACTGTTGAACTTCACGCTCGGACTAGACTATCCTCGTGGAAAGAGTCCTCAGTACCCGCAGGATAGGAGGCTGGATGGACCCCAGAGATATCCTGGGCGCTGTGGGGAAGGGAGATTTCCCTTACTCTTGCCGGTATTGTATTTTTACAGATTTAAAAAATCACGCATTTTCTTACAGTAGATATCGGTCACCAAAGCCAACACGTCTCGGAACCTTCACTTCTAAACAGGAAAACGTTCAAGCTTCATTTGATGACTGCAGCTTACTTTATACTCCGCGTTCCGTTTCGAGTTTCCTGTACAGATTATACTATCAACTTGCGCGCGCACACGGCTTCAAAGGTATATGGTGGTTGTGCACATAACCTTCTTACCGACTGAGTCAAGCAAGTAGGTGCAGTCGTCAATTTGAAGATGGCAGAACCATAAACTAACTCGCAAGTTCTGTTTCGAGCAGTGTTGCGTAGTCATCATTGGGTGTGAGGAAGTGGAATTTGAACGTGAATTGTTCGTGCAATGTTGCCTAGACTGTAAACCGAGTTCCCAGCAGTCTGTGAATATTGTGTGATGAAAGAGAAGCAGCCTTAATGATCCCGATGGTGGTGGTGGTGGTGTGTCGTCAGCTGGAAATTTCCGGAAGTTAAACGTCGTCATTTTCGTTTATATAATATAATACGGTGGAGTCCGTTAACAGAACATTGTAAAATAAAATGAATGAGGATAGGGACAAAGAAGATGACCCAATTGTAGATTTTTGGATAGCTAATTGGGAACAGCAATGCGTCCAACATCTTGAAAGTGAACCTGATTATGAAGGGCAGCTTCAAAGTGAACGAGACTTAGCACACCAAAAAGTGTGGTTTTCTTTTCAGAACACTGCTACAGCTATAGCACAGTTATACAAAGGTGAAAACCCGTTCATATGAAAATGCTTGGTGATCAAAAATGGCTCCTAAAATGTCTGCCCAGTTCTTCCATTTTGTATTTTAGCTATTGATCAAATAACTCTACAATTTTTTTTTCTGTGTAAAAATTTCAGACCGACTACAAGGTGTGTCGTTGTGGGTACCTTTTCAAACAGCCGCTGGTACCGTAGCAGCTTTATATAAAGGTAAATTTGTATTCTAACAGTCCATATCATGTAAGGAAATGACCTTCGTTGGTAGAATGAAGTTTTTGAGGTGCTGAAAAACACAACTTGGTCTACGTTAAAGTAAATGCAGATCAGAATGTTACCTAAGTTTCTGTGTTTCAGATTCTTCAGATGCCATACGGCGTACTAGTGAATTGGGCGTTCAGTGTGGTTACCAGCGGCGGAACAAGGAAATACTTAGTTGGGCCCGTAAAAAGCGTAGACACATTCGGCGGGAGGATCTGTTAGCTTACTTGGCAGGAAAATCTCCACCACCACGACCCCACCATCATAGGTGATAAAAACCTTTGCAATTTATAGATTAATTTATGTGGATTTTTTTAATATTAAGTGCTTAGGAACAAGTTTGTTATATTTGTTATATTCTTGCAATGTAATGTATTTAAATTTGTTACAGGTTTTATATAAGGGGCATGTGGTAGCATAGATAGTTGAGGCACTGTGCTACAAGCTGGAAGGTTGTGGGTTCGATTCCAAATCCTTCCAGTTGCACTGTGACCATGGGGTTGACTTGGCCTCTTAACAGAAATGAGTACCAAATATCTTCCTGGGGCATAAAGGGCGTCCAGTATGTAAGGCTGACAGTGTCACTGCCATCTGTCAGCCAATTGTTTAGAAAATGTGGGAGCCTCAATGTCTCCTATCTGTGGGCCTCCACAGCCTTTTACAGGGATAGCTTTACTTTTTTTTACTGGAATAATAATCTTTCAATTCTGTGAGATTTTGTAATGTGTTATTGTGTTATTATTGGAATGTGATGTGATGGAAAAGTTTGGAAGCAGTAAGCAAATATTTTTGAACAAGGCGCTGAAATGGTCTTAAGTTCATTGAACCAAATGCGATTATGTGTATAACAAAGATTTCAGTATTATGACAAGAGAGAAAATAACTAAGGATGAATATAGGGATGAGATAATTTACAAATACAGTAAACTGTCAGCCAGTGTGAGGATTATGTTTCCTGAAAATGGCATGTTAGGTGAGTCAGTGTTGGACAAAGTTACCTCTGTTGAACATACTCATGTAATTTCCCATTAATGCCTAGGTATGTAAATTCTTACAGTCACTAATGAAACAGGCGGCTATCAGCCTGAACAAAAGAAAGAAGACAAATGAATAACCCTACCCATACTTTATATGGAATAAAAATATAGTATATATAACGGAGCATAACGAAAATAAAGATATAATGAAAGTATGAGGGAAAGAGTTGCAGAGATATGTTTGATGAACTGTGTATATTCATATTTTCAGTGTTTGCTGTATAATCATTGGGATTTGTTCCTGTATATATCAGGAAGTCCATGTTGGGCAGGAGTTTGCTGTAAAAGTTTGAGTGTGCATGGAAATAGTTATTTAGATTGTGATATTCTGGGTTATGACACTGTGTAGCCTTCAAGGCAGATACCAGAATTTGGGAAGAATATTCTGCCTCCATCTTTAGGGCTGAAGCCTCAGTGACCACCTTCCTTCTAAGCTGCATATATAACCAAGCCAATTCTTCAGACTACACACTTCAAGATTAAAGATAAAAGTAACAAGTTCCTCTGAATTGTCAGTATCTGCCTGCTATAATACATGGTGCCTCAACCTGTAAGGTCACATGTGAGTCATTTATGAAGGTAACCAATTTTTTTTGTCGGGGCTGTGAGGATGGTTAAATTTGCGGAATCTGGACTACCATAATGTAGTAGGTTGATCATTGATAGTTTCTTTCATGGGTTCTTCTGTACATAATTATGAAGCAAATTACTGCAAGATATTGGACTGTAATTTCCCAGTTTCTAAAATCAGTGCTATGTTCACATCGCATACAGTTGTTGGGTGAGAGTGAGAATGTGTTGCCTCAGGAAATGTATTGCACCAATCATAGACTCTTGCGTGTGACAGTCTCTCTTCCTCAGTCTGTGCATTTAACCTGTGAAGAATTTCTGCTGGTTTCACTTCCTTTTGCTAGGAATTTGTAGCATAATGCCTCAGCCAACTATGCTACTGTATGCCTCCTGTAAAATGCCCATTACATATTTAAAATATTGTTATATAAATTGTGATTTGTTATAGCATCCAGCTGGTTGCTGAAGTAAATGAGATAGATGTGTTTCACAAAGCAGTATGTCTTATACAATGTCTGTGGCATTACACATTTAACGATTTGAAGAAACAAATTTTTATTGTCTTAGATGACCTTGTGTTAATGGCTAAGGAAGAAACTGTGCTACNATCTTTTTACCAGCAAATTGGACTTAAATTTGAGGAAGAAACTAGTGAAATGCTACATTTGGAGCATAGCTCTGTATGGGGCTGAAACATGGACACTTAGGGCAGTAGATCAGAAACATCTGGAAAGTTTTGAAATGTGGTGTTGGAGAAGGATGGAGAAGATCAGTTGGACCGATTATGTGAGAAATGAAGAAGTGTTAATTAGAGTCAGTGAGCAGAGGAATATCCTACATGAAATAAGAAAACGGAAAGCTAATTGGATTGGTCATGTTTTACGCAGAAACTGCCTTCTAAAAGAAGTTATGGAAGGAAAGATAGAGGGGCGGATAGAAGTGACAAGAAGACGAAGAAGATGTAAGAAGATGCTGGATGACCTTGGGGGCAGAAGAGGATACTGTCATTTGAAGGAGAAAGCTCTAGATCGCATTAAGTGGAGGAATTGTTTTGGAAGAGACTGTGGACCTGTCGTCTGACAGATTACTGATGATGATGATTGCAAGGTGTGAATCTGCAATAACTGAATAACAGGCCAATCAGGTAAACTTTATGTACACATGTAAAATTGTGAAGAACATATTTTGGGAAACGTTTTGTTCTCAAAGCCGGGATTGGTTTTAAGCATTAATACCAGCAGAATCCATGAATTGGTGATTTGGATTATATGCCCTATTCCTCTGGAATAGGGATGTCATGATTTAGTGTTACATTTTAAATAGATAAAATAGAATGGAAGTGTGTTTCTCATTCAAGAGTATTTATGACGTTGAACCTTGAGGTCCTGGTGAGACAGTGCTAATTACTTCGAGAGTCATGCTTTTTCATCACTTTCACTGTCTTTCCTCTGCTGGTTCTAACTCTGTAGGCATAATTTAAGAATATCTCACAGTTATTAGTGTGCTGCTGTTATTGCTGTGATCTATTGTTACATAAATATCAAACGTGAAAGAAAGAAGAAGGTTGCTGCAGCTTGTATGAATGTTCAAATGAAACCTGTTCAGTGATCTGTACGATGGAGTAGAGGCTGTTTGAAATAGTTGTCATGGGCATTAGGCCACACATCCCATTGGCACTCAAGCCAATGGATGCCCTCCACTCTCCACAAAGAACTCCTAGGCTGATGCTGGAAACATTGCACCACTGTGGCCCCGATGTCTTTGTCCAACCCAGATTTACGGCGTTAGAGCTTTCTTGAAAGGGCCAAACACATGAATAGGTTTATTTGAACAACCCTGTTATCTTCTGTTCCACTCAACTGTTTTGACATCTGAATTCTTCTATTCTGTTTTTTATTTCTCCATGAAATTGTTAATTTCATCACGGCGTGGCACGTCCTCGGGTTGCAGTTGGAAGAAATGGTCTCCAGATATGGAGGTCAGATGCAAATATAGTGAATAAGCAGTCACAGAAAATTGATAAGGTGTGGTCTTCCGGTTTGGGTTGGGGATAGGGCTAATAACTCCTCGCCAAAAAAAAAAAACAATTCTGTTATGAAATGTCACAAAGGGCCTTGGACATGTACTTTTTTGGGGAGGAGGAAATTGTGTAGCTGAGTAACTGGCAGCTTCAGGGGCATTCAGCTCCATTTAGTTATGAAATTGTTAACTTACAAGCCATAACTGTTACTGTGAAGGCAAGAGAATTTGTATTTCTACAGTTGTTGCTGAGAGAACATGATCACAGAAGGCTGTGACTATTGTTTGTCTCACAGAAATGCTGTGTCGGTTGCATTGCGTATTGAGCAGTCACTTAGGTGTGTGTGCATGATGGACTGGAACTGGCTACAAGGAGAATGTTTTCCTCTTCTGACATTTGCCTGAAGGGACTTAGGAGTAGTTACTATAGGATTCTAGCGATGGTGTATAACACACAGAGATATTGGGTTTTCAGACTTTATCCATCGTCCTGGTTTTTAAGCTGACTAAGAACAACATGACGTTTCGGAAACTGGATCTGTTTCCGTCCTCAGGTGAGGGAAAACACCTATTCTGTTGGGTCCCTTAGAAAGAGCTAGCCTCAATCACTGGGTCCAGTTGGGTCTAAGGGACCCAACAGAATAGGTGTTTTCCCTCACCTGAGGACGGAAGCAGATCCACTTTCTGAAACATCGTGTTTTTCTTAGTTATCTTAAAAACCAGGACGATGGATAAAGTCCGAAAACCCAATATCTCTGTGGGACTTAGGAGGTTGAAGAACCTCAGACATGATTTTCAGATTCAGGCCAAAATTTTTATTGGTTACGCCCAAACACATGACAGTTATGCTACCATTTCAGTTAAACTTGTCATATTTTATATATATGTTCATGAGAAATTATTCACTGTAAACATTGTGGTTGTGAGGAGTTACAGTAATGTTTTTTTATGTTGCTATTTAATTTTGTCAATTGCAGAAGTTCCCCTCGGCCAAGGATGATGCTTGCTGAGCGTCATGGTTCCCCCAACTCTCACCAGATGGAAGCTCACTCCGAGCTCCACCACCATGCTAGTGCAGCCACAGTTGGTAATAATGCTGATGACAACCTTCATACTTTCCGGGAAGCTTTGGCAATTTCAAGTGAGTTCTGTTTGTTCAGTTCAGAAGACTGATTCAGTAATTTCATGGGTGCAAAGTCCCTTTCAGAAGCTAATGGTCACACAGCTATTAAGAAATTCCCCACCTTTTATGTAACTTTAAAGTTTGTTGCGGTGTTCAGAAGAACCTGCCCAAATCTGATGCTCTGTTTAACATTTTGTAGCATGTCAGTCTTTGTGGTGAGGAATTGTTAGCCCCCAGTCATCCTCCAAGCTGGTGGACAACCCCTTGACAGTTGTCCATGACTGCTTATTCAGTGTATTCTCTTCTGTCCTGTGTATGCTATTTGAGTACACACCATACCATGATGCCCGCTTAACATGAGATTTTATGCACAAGAATATCAGGGAATTAAAATAGAATGTGAAATCACTATCCAATTGAATCTGATTTATTCATTTTTAATGATTAAATGCTATTATATTCCATACATACTTCAGTCACTTCAGTCGGAAGGGAAATATTAAAGGAAACTTTACAGTGTGCATACATAAAATATTTAAAAACGTGCAAGTCATTTAAGTATAATGATAAAATTGTATAAGTAGTTAATTTTAATGTTATGTTGAAGTTCATTGGTGTAAGCAGTTATTGACAACAGTCCTGTGAAATTAGTGCTGTGTTGTGTTGCACACAGATTCATACTAATTTTTTACAGTGTCAGTAGGCTGCTATTGTGGCATCTTTGTATTGGTTGCTAGGAGATGAAGTATTGGACTGTTTAGGTGTCAGTGACGTTTGGCTGAAGGATAAGGAATACTATCTTATGAAATGTAGGCAGCATTATTTACAGGTGAGTCTATGGTTAATGAGAAGCTCACAGAAGGTACAGGGTGATTCATATAGAACCGGCCTGATGAAATGAGCTGTAATATAAAATATATTAAAGTAATTTACACATCTTATCTTGGATTGTGTACCGTAATCAGAGCAGGTGTTGAAAGTGTCTGCCGTTTTCAAGTAGGCACGCCTCCACCTGTGTTTGCATATTCGCCGTGACTCGCTGCAGCGTTTCTTCAGTGATGTTCCTGATTTCAGCCGAAATGTTGACCTTTAAATCCTGTAACATATGTGGTTTGTATGCATACACCATGTCCTTTAGTAAACCCCAGAGAAAAAAATCTGGGCTGGTAAGGTCGTTGGATTTTGGGGACCACAGCTTTTTAGAGATGACGCAATCGGGGAAGAAGCTCTCAATCAGTTCCATGGACATGTTGGATGTGTGGCACGTCGCTGAATCCTGCTGAAAATAACCCTGTGTAAGTTCCACGTCATCCAGCTGCTGCACGAAATCGTAAAAAATATGGCCGTATAAGGTGCTGTCCACAGTTGTGTCGAAGAAGATCGGTCCAATGATTCGTAAACCAGAAATGGCGCACCACACACCCACTTTTTGTGGTTGTAGTGGTGATTCAGCAATCTCATGTGGGTTTTCAGATGCCCAGATCCTGGAATTTTGTGCGTTTACATATCCTGATAGGTGGAACCATGCTTCATCATTAAACCAAGTGATATCCAAAATTCTGGGGTTATCGTGCACGAATTCCCGAAACCATTAACAGTACCGTACCTGTTTATCTTTATCAACATCACCAAATTCCTGAACACTGGTGATCTTGTAGTGACAAAGATTCGCTTTCTTTGCAGCTCGTTGACACGTTGAATAAGCATGCTCGGTTTCCTGGCTTAGAGGTTGTAATGATTTCTTGGGAGACTGCAGTAACCTGTCCCGCACAATTGCAATCGTTTCTTCTGGCATTTCTGGGCGGTTTTTACCATGTTCACTTAAAAGTGTCCCTGTCTTTTCCAATTTCTGAGCCAAGGACTGCATAGTCGATTTCGCTGGTTTCTTGCGAACTCCAAACTTCCTCCTGAATTCCAATTGTGTGTTCGCAATCGAGCCTGTCACCCAGTACGTGTGCATGAGAAACACTCGCTGTTCAACAGTGTATTCCATGACTGTCGCCTGCACACTGCAGACATGCTTCAGGATTGTCCTTGACATTGCAGCATAAGGGCTGCCACTTGCTGGATCATGCGCACACCATTCGACTCAGCACGGCCCACAGATTATTATGTCATAATTGTGAGCAGTTATATGCATCACCTCCGGAATTATTAGCAAATTCATCAAGCCGGTTCTATACAATTCACCCTGTATTATGAGGCACTGACCAGGATGGAAACTGTGTCCATCTTAGTGGAGACTATTCTCAGTAGCCTACTGGTCAGGCGTTTGCATAGAGTGAGACATTCCATGCTGATATTTCAGAATTTTTACTTGGACTGTAATAATCAGTTCTGTAATTGATCTCAATTGGTCCTCTCTTTATTATTAAAACTGAATTTGCATACATCAAGACTGTGTGAAAGCAACGTTTCTGAATATTATATTTCAGCACCCTGTTGTGCTGTGGATAAACTTGAATACTGTTCTGTCTTCTCCATCCTTGTGCAACTGAAACAAAATCTGCTAGGTTTCGATGTTTCTTCTTTCTCCTGTATTTCACAACATGTTTTGGCCTAACTGGCCTTCATGAGATGTACAAGGTGTGTTTAAGGAATCTGCTCTGTTTTCCATTTTGATGTACCAGACACTTCTAAGTGTTTCATTCAAGTTATGTTATGCCATGCCCTTGAGTCTAACTACATGTTTGGCTTATGTTTGTTGAACACGTTGCTTTCGTTTCCTCTGGTGTTGTACCTACTCTGCTTGGTTCTGCGTAAAGCAGGTACAACACCAGATGAAATGATAGCAACATGTTGAACAAATATGAACCAAACATATGATTAAACATGAGGGCATGGTGTAACGTAACCTGAATGAAGCGTCTAGAAGTGTGCATCAAAAGGAAAGCAGAACAGGCTCCTTAACACTTTGCAGACTGGATGCATGATATCAGGATTTTAGGACACGTTAGGTTGTAACACACTATACCTTGCTCTGGCGCTATGCAACTGCAATGAATACTGCATAATAAATCTTCGGAATGTATGCTAGGTATTCAGTAACTTGACCTGGCTGGCTAGGGTCCCTACTCCAAAAGAAAATAAACTTTGCCCCTTCCAGCTGTTTATGTACCAGGCAGGAAGTTAGTAGAGGGGAATATGTTTCAAGGACAAAAGCAGTTGAAGGCAAAGAGATCTCTCTGACTTGTATTCCGATGAGCTATCTGAGTGCCTTGTGGAGGAGTAGTGATTAGTGACTCAGACAGTGGAAGTGACAGGGGTCAACAAAGAATTGTGGCCACAGGTAATAAAAGTGAAAGTTGCCTTGTGGCTTATAAATTGTGCCATTTTCAATTCACTTTTGGTTTACAAAAATCTAAACCCTGATTCGAAATTGAAATACAAAGCATTTCTGATGAATGTGGCGTAGGCTTGGGCTACAGATCAGATGGTAGCGGCAGAACCAGAGTCACACAGACTTAGGGCGACCTAGCCCATCAACTGCCGCCTCACGCAGGCCTCATGTGGACACCCTTGAGCGATTGTTGGGTGATATGCAGAAATATACCCTTGTGAAATTGTTGAAGAGTGAACATTCCAAGGGGAAGCATCCTTCTAGGCAATGCCATGTTTGCGCAGTTCACAAAAAAAGGACTATGTCTACATTTGCAAGTGTGTAATGCCACTTCACAAAGGGGAATGTTTCCAGAAATATCACACCCTGAAGCACTTCTAGGAGCATTGGTAAGGGCTCTCCAAAAATTTTAGTTTATAAAATTAATTAGGAGATTTTATATTAATTTTTAAAGTGAACAGTGCACAAGTTAGGGTAGTAGGTATAAAAATGCCGGTCCCCAGGGTGATTTAAATATTTAAATCGCCAGTCCTCGAAGTGTTAAATATGCCTTGTACACCTGATGGTGACTATGTTGTAAAATATAGCAGAAAGAAGAAACATTGAAACATAAGGGATTTTGATTGAGTTACAAAAGGACGGATAAGACTCAACAGTATCCAATGTTTCAGAACTATTTTATTGTTTTGCTTCATGTATTATCTTGTGTGTCCATCAAAATTAGCAACCCTTGGTGAAGAGCCTCTGCATTGGAAATAAGATGAAATCTTTTGATTACTGGCAAAAGTAATGTTCAGAAGTGTTGCCTTCTGCGATGTGACATTGTATAGTCTAATGGAAATTTACTGACCTTTGGAGGAAGATAGTGCTTCCATCATTAGGATCAGAGAGACACTGAGCCAGGCTTTGGTTCCTGTATTGTTCAGCCGAGAATGTGGAGGCAGTATGTTCCTTTGTAATGTCGCCAAACTTCTACCAGATTATACACTGCATCGCACCAATGAAGATAGTACTTTAGCTTCCACTGCTGTGAGAACCTCAGATATGACAATACTGTGTTGTGTTTTAGATTCTACAATGGGTTTAGCTAGGCGGCAGCGCTCTTTGGAACTGAATTCATTCATTGCCAACGAGTTTGCTCGTCATTGTAAGCGTCCAGCACCACCCAGCTCACCACACGATGTCACAATGGATTCGCCTACCCATAAACGATCACGGCTTATGTAAATAAATATATAAAACGGTAAGGCTGAAGATAAGTTGGAAATGGCTTGTGCCCCCCCTCACCATGCCTGAAGTCTGCACATAATCCCACCACTGATGCCAACCCAAAAGAAGAAGTTTCAAAAAACCAACATGCATGAGACATTTCACTGAGGTAAATGAACATTAATTTTGCATATGAAGTGAAGGAATGGACATAAAGACATATTCTCATATTAAAATATGGCACTGAGTGAACTGCTGGCCAAATCTACCATGATGCCTTGTGTTCTGCCTTGATAGCCATCTTTTATTCTTTTCTTGACAGGAACTGTGGATCAGGTTTCCCTGCACACACATCTATAAGTATATTTCTCAAATTGTTTTCCATTGTGACTCCATTTTGTGAAAAGATAAATTTGGATGCAAGTATATAGTTCCATTTTGTTGTCTAAATATGTAACTAACAACCCTCGAAATGTTGCTCCTAAACAAGTTTATGAATGTCTTATTTCACACAGAATACTAGTTTTCCATTTAGCTATGACAGATTCATTGGCACAGGTGTATTTTGCAACTAGAGATTGATTGTGACCTTCCAAATGAATCTAGTAACAGGGTCTTATCTCAGAAATGGTGATTGATATATGGTGGAACTCCCATATAATGTTCCCCTGTTTAACACTTTTCCTCATTTAATGTTCAGTTTCATTGATTCCAAGCCAGGAATCTAAATATTAAAAGTATCACCCTTTAAAGTTTCCTTCAGTTTCATATTCAGATCCACTGCTTTCAAAAGAAACCTTAAGTTGTCATTTCACTGTGAAACAGCATTCTGATTTTAAAAATTGTTTCCGTGTTAAACTTTATGTAGCACTTATTCTTTAGTAACATGAATAACTCAACATTGTTTTTCTAGGGTTGTCTTGATAATACTTAAGACTATATGAGTGTATATTTCTTTTATTTTAAATAACAGACTGGAATATTCTAGGCTGATTTTGTGTTAAGAAGAATATGTGGTTACTACTGTACATAACAGATTACACACTGTAACATGCACTTTGATGCATGTAACAGAGGTTGTATCTGATTTTTCACTGAGAAGGCAAGATTATGGAATAAGAGGTAGAGCATGTTGACTGCTATATCATTTTCATTATGTCCTGACAGGATTTCTCAAACATGTCTTGAAAATGGAGTTCCAAATACCTATGTAGGGTTTCATAGCTACAGGAATGTTCTTCATTTTGGCAAATGAATGAACATGGTGCAGTGCTGATTGCTGGAATTTAAAGTTATCTTTATATTGATGGCTCAGTGGTATCTGCTGGACCTTGTACCTTCTTTGTGTAATTTTCTGGCAGAGTAGAATGCTTTGTTTACATTAAATACTGTCCTGTATTGTGGTCCCTTGGCCTTGCTCTTTTTTTTTTTTCTATAGATTGTTCAGTAACAGCCATATTTTTGTCTATACCATTTGAACTGTGAAGCTAGTTTATCAGAATTATATCATATACAGACATTTAATGCACATTATTAATGATCAAATGCACGTGTATCTATTTAAGGGTATAGCAGATCAATTCATTAAACATGCAGCTTTGCAGTAACAAAAATTGTCAGTTTTGACAGTCTAGTCCAGATATGGGCAAAGTACGATCTGTGGGAAAGATCCAGTTCCTGATTGCTTTTTGACTGACCTGTAGAGCTATCATGAAAATTTGCATATAATGTTACAGTAAAACCTGTTTTAAACAGAATCTCAAGGGTCCAGAACACTTTTCTGCTGAAGCCAGGTTTCCGTTTAATCAAGGTATACTATAATACTTGAGCCAGGACATGTACGTATTTGAAGCAAAATAAATCACCATACTCAATTTATTTATGTTATAATCATTGAACATGAGCAAACAGTACACTAAACAGAAAAACATTGCAGTGCTCACTTTTTATAATTTTACCAGAACGTTTTTTTGCACGCAGTTTACTCTCTTGGCTGCCTGACTTTCTACAAACACTTTAGTTTGAGAAATTACATTAAGCATGTTTGAATCATTCCATTTGGAAAATTCCTGCAGTTACTTTAAACTTTCAACAGCATCTTGCTAAGTCTTCACTGTACACTTTTTTCTTCTGTCACAATGTAATTTTCTTCTCCTCTCTTCCTATGTTTTCAGGTTCATATCCCTTGATTATGGATGACATTTTAGCTAGATACTCCTCAATGGTCTCACTTTATACACTTGATACACAACAGAGTTCATTAAAAACTATCTGATATCTTTTGCGAAAACTCCTACCATCCATTAGATGCTTTGTTTTCAGTCTTCCCCAGTTTGTCAGTGACCTTATTAGCATATTCCTGTACCATAGGACAGGACACACGGTGATTTTTTGTCCTGACACTGACAATCCACTCACATACTATTTCATTAACATCTTCATTTGCAGTTTTCTTAAGTTCTCTTTTTATTTTCCCATTATCAGAATTTTCCCACTGCTTCAAAATTTACGTTTTCTTGTTTAGAATCTTGTACACTTGAGTTTTACTGACATTAAAGATCTTCATGATCTGCTTAACAAACAAGTTATCTGGCTCACTCCCGTGAATCACTTTTACTCTTGTCTTTGTAGCCATGATGACAATTGCTAGACTAAAGTAAAAATGTAGGCCTAGAGCCCTTGGTGAATAAAATTTCTGGACGGGGCAGACAGTTCAGTTGAATTTCATTGCAGGTAGTGCAGTACTGTTAAATTCTGTAAAATGTGTAGGATGCCTAAAATTCTTCTAAACAATGCATTGCGGAAGACTGGAAATTTTCTATATAAAGGCTTATTTTGATTTACATTTCCGTGTTAGACAGTTCCCATTTAATCCAGGATATTTAACATCTTTTTCAGCCCCAAAGTCACAGGACCTGAAAATATTTCCGTTTAAGACCAATTCCGTTTAATAAAGGGTCCATTTAAGGCAGGTTTTACTGTATATTTAATTTACATCAACCTTTTTTTAAAATAAATTTAAATACCTAATCATCAGCTGAAAATGGAACCATCTGTCACACTACTGTAGTGATTAATGATGTTTATTAGGTATATTTATATCTAATATATACTTATAAAATAGGGGCACATGGTAGTGTAGTTGGTTGAGGCACTATGCTACAAGTCAGAAGGTCGTGGGTTCAAGTCCCAATGAGGTCGTTGGATTTTTTTTTTAATTGTCCTAATCCTTCCGGCCGCACTATGGCCCTGGGGTCGACTCAGCCTCTAACAGAAATGAGTACCAGGGATTAATTAAATAATTTTCCTGGGGAGTAAAGTGCATAAGGCTGATGACCTTACCGCCATCTTTGAGCTGATTGTCTAGATAATGTGCGACCCTCAACGTCTCACAACCCTATGGGCCTTCACGGCCTGTTTCAGGGATAGCTTTACTTTTTTTTTTTTTTTACTTTATATACTTAAAAATATTGCATTGACCTCTTTCTGGCCTGACAGAACACATATAACTGATAGTCTGGCCTTTTTTCTATAAAATTAACCCAAGTCTGATCTATACTGCCCTAGGTTGGCAGGGATTCAATTTAGGCCCCCCCTCTTAATCTCCATTAATGGTGCATAGAGCTCTAGCTGCAGGCCCCAGATATATTTGTAATGATGTGAGTGAGCTCACGGAACAGTCCCCCCCCCCTCCAAAGAAATGTGTAACAATGTGGTCACTTTGGTCAGTAACTGCTGTGCTAATCACAGAAAGTGTAGCAAATACATATATAAATTCCTCTACTGATGAAATATATACATTAAAAATAAAAACATATATGCTGCTAATAAGGTTAATTTTGCAGTGAAATCTGATGATTTAGATCACAGAACATGAATGAGAATAAACTCAACTCTATATAAATTTGCATTTGCACTTCTTAAATAATAAATGCGTAAATTAAAATATAAGATCCACCAAATTGTTATTACAAACTGAAGAAATTTTGGATATACTTGCTAAGCTAGAAAATGGGTGTCATTTGAAATTAGTTTCTATCCAGCTAATATCTTTGTACAGTGACTTCCATAAAACAAATATGATCCTGTATCAATAAAACCCAGTGTAGTATGCATGCATAGGGTGTAACCAAACATTTCAGTGCCCGGTTTATACTGACTGGAGGTTCTGGTGTGCTGTTAATGTAAGAATGAAATTTGGTCTATAATGGATAAAACTATGTGAGTAGTTGCGATGTATTCTATTAAAGGCATGAAATGTTACCATCTATAAGCACAATTGCAGCCATGTTCACATTGCATGCTTACAGCAGAGGCATGTGAAACTCTATAATAATAATAATAAAGGCCATATCAGCAAATTAAAGTGTGCTTGTTTTCTTACATGGTCTATAATCTGTCCTTTGAACTAAATAGTACCTAATGGCATCTTCCTTTTTGACAGAAACTGGCATGTTTATGACTGAACAATTGTAACCTTTCCTGTTATGGTTGTTTATAGCTGTAAAGTGTAATGGTGAAACTATACCTCCACTCTCCCTTACATCTTCATGCTGTTGTGCTCAGTTAAGCACAGGGAATACTTCATCTTTTGCCTTTCTGCCTTGAACTTGTAAGTTCTTTCTTGTTCTGTGCTATAGTTGATTATTGCATTACCAGTGCATATTCTAGTTTATTTGGAGATAACATGGAGGATTTTATTTGGCGACAGATGTAGTTAAGTCACAGTTTGGAGAACAGTGCATTCACTTTGTTGTTATATAGATTATAATATGGGAGAGAAGTTCAGTTCATTAGTTTTTAACTTTCTTGCTTCTGTTTGTCAGTGTATTGAGGACAGCCATCGTAACTATGGAAACAGGATATGTCTTGAGATTATCCTCCTATTTTTACCATAAGTATATTAGTTGGTTTATTTTCTGCCATGACTGCAAGGTTTAATTAGTCTGACAGGCAGTACACTTATATTCATTTATTTGCAGCTTATTTTAGAAGCAGAAGAGTAGGCACTCTAGCCTGATCTAATCTGTATCTCCTGTAAATGTTGTGCCCAATTTTCCACCGTAGTTCAGATCCCATTGTTTGCTATTAGATGTCATTAGGAATATCAGAATCTTCCTTGAGTGTGTTCTTGCTTCACATTGCCAGCCAGGCAGAGTTCAGCAACATTGATAAAACTTTAACAAATGGAAATATTATCTTTTGGAATGTGATGCCATGTAATTTGGTAGAAGTTTGTGGACATCTTGGAAGAATGTTCTTTGGCAGCGTTGATAAACTTCTTCCACACTGCATGGCACCACATCGCACAGGATGATAACTTTTCACAATCACTGCTGTAAGAAACTTAGATCTCACATGACTGGAGGTGTTTGCTGCAAGGAGAAGTTTATATTCAATAATAAGTTAAGATTTATGCACACTGCTATAGTATCTATTCAGTTCCATGTTGTGAAAATCTTTCTGGTCTGAAAAACTGTGGAAATAGTTGATCAGTTACGGCTTGTTAGCTGCTAGCAGGGTCTCGATTGCTGTGGCTGCACAGCTTCTGGATCTAACTCCCCCCCCCCTCAAGGGGTCAGAGTGATTTGCTCATTTCTGCAACTTACGCAGTCTCCCCACACTGAGCCATGCTGTGTCCAGTTGGCTCATGTATGTATGAATGCTGGCATCCTGCTGCTTTTTCCCTAACCCCCTCCCCCCGGCATTATCCTGGCGTCCTTTATCGTTAGTCTGTACCTTCGTTTACCACGTGACCCTTTCTACCCTCTTCTGATGTCTCAGAAAGGAAGTCTTCTATCAGTGGCAGTTGGAACAGCTACATAGTGTAGTAAAGATTGCTTACCGACAATTGGGGAATTGGGAACCAGAAATTGTGTTTTCATTTGGGTACTTCAAAATTATGTTTGGATATTCTTCCGCCAGCCGGTAAGGGTAAGGCTGCCCATGGTTGCAACGGAATGAAGTTTATTCCAGGGAAGTTGCGACACACATTTTAATCTTGAGTTATTGTTATTATTTGCTTAATTTTGTAGAGCCTGTTTAATTCTTTATGTTAGCACTGCATAAATGGGGCAGTTTTGCAATGCTACATGGGGAACTGCTGAATTTTTGTTGTTTGTGCCTCACCTTTTGTCTGTAAGCTCTGGTCACCTTGGCCCTATTTGACTAAACTTACCTGACAAGTTGTCGGTAAATTGTGAGTTCTCTGGCCGCCTTGCTTGAATGTTTGGCTGTGGTTTTGCACATGGTGATGCAAGGGCCATGACCATATCACCTGTGATTCCAAGTGATGGTACCTCCTCGAATAGATTGTGCACTGCCACACTCACTTCTGCTGCATGGTAGCCTCTGAAATTTTTGACTACAGTAACTGGCAAGGGTGGGATCTCGTGGAGTCTCTCTTTGCCCATTTTGTCGGTGTACGTGCCAGTCTTGTCTAGGTAACCAAACAGTGATTGAGAGACGTTAAACGTATCATTGTTTACTGCTTTCCTCATGTCTTGTTCTTTGCTAGTCAGCACCTTTATTCCCTGTTTATCCTTCACTTCTAGCAGTTTTAGATGAAGCATTGCTGTTGCATAGTAGGCTACTTCCTCATGCATGATTATTCTATCGAGTTGTCTGTCATCTGCTCTGTAACCATCATATACTTCAGCTGCTACATCAGTGATCTTGCTGTAGTGGGCTGAGAATGATTGCCGTGTGCTATTTCAACTACGCTTACATCGATACCGAAAATAGCATCGGATGGTATCAACTCGTACCTTTGTGGTGTTGCTTTTGTCTGCAAGATGGTTGGTGCAGGCAACACGGGAGATTTTGGTCCCAAGCGTGGCTCCCTTACTGGCTTTGGACTCTTCTTTCCAACTTGTGCTGGATTGAAGTTTTCCGGTTTGCATTGGTAATTTGGAGCCATCCTGTGAATCTCCTCTTCTGTGTAAACTTTTTTGTTTTCTGCCATTGTGTCAGTTAACAAAGTTTACAATAAAAATTCTTTTCCTCACTCTTTGCTTTGACTATTTTGAAACTAAGTTTCAGTCTGGCTGAGATCAGACAATTGCTTCACAGGCAATACGAAGTATTGGTTTCCTGAGGGATCATTATTTTCCTCCTACCTGGACCAGTGATGCCAACTGGACATAGCATGGCTCAGCACCCTTCTGCAGTAATGAAATGAACTGTTAATGAAGTAGGATTGTACGCACATTGGATCTAATGGTCGTACTATGCACTGGAAAATTACTGTTTCTCCACTACGAACAGCTTTGTTCGACATTAGTATACTGCATTAGTCACGCTATGTACATTTTGGTAATACAGAGTGTGCTGACAGAAGAGAGAGAATATGGCTTAGCAGAGCTGGAAGAGTTTTATTTTTCCCAGAAAGGAGATGAATCTTCACCCATAGATCACATATTTCATGAGGTTTTATATCCTTCAACTGCAAGGTGTTTTATCTGGGATTGTCTGTAATGGAGCCTTTCTGATTCATTCAGCTGTCTTTGAGTGAATTATTACAATGCCAGATTTGTGCTTTAATTAGTGCAGACAAAATGAAATTCTCCATTTGAAATTGTCCCTTTATAAATGTATGTACATATTAGGTGTTTGATGGAACACTGTGTATTAGCCAGTGTGGTAGGTGATGTACAGTTGCTGCAATCTAGGTTCAA